CCGCCACAAAGAGGCGGGTCGGAGACGGCGTCTAATGATAGCCGTGCTGAGGCCCTTCAAGCCCCTCCGCAACCCTCAACGCCTGCTCGATCTGCTCCTGGCGCAACCACTTCTCCTTAGGCGTGAACCACCAACTAAGCACACCGAAGATCGTGACCGCGCCGAAAATGATAGGTGAGAAGTTGAAACTGTCCGCGTCGACGGGGAAGAAGAACGGCGAGACGTCCACGGCGACGATAAGCGCGTTGAAGATGACAGTCGAGATGTACGCGGGTATGCGCCAGCGGCCGAGGTAGAACGCGGAGGCTGTGAAGCTGTTGCGTGTGAAGAGGAGGCGGAGGAGGGCCATGAGGCCGTAGGCGGCGATGGTGGGCACGCCAGCGGCTGAGACGAGCGAGGTGAAGGCTACGGAGGAGGGGAGGATGGTGCAGAGGAGGGCGGCCGCGAAGATGTAGATGACGATGACGGCGTTGCGCGGTTGACCGTTCTTGTCGACTTGACCGATCCAGCCAGACATGGGGAGGACACCGTCACGCGCTACGGCGTAGATGAGGCGGGAGGCGGCGACAACCGCGATCGTAGTGTTCTGCGAGACGCATATGAGCATTGAGCTTGGATCCATTAACGTGGGATGCTCACCATGATGAGACCGACGACGGCCAGAATGGTCATAAAGATGCTGGCCTTCTTGCCGAGCGCAAGAGCGTAGATCTGGACGAAGGGCTGAGGCGCACCGAGTGCGAAGACGGTATCGAGATCGGGCGTGCAGAACAGGAACAGGATGGTGGCTGCAAAACCGCAGATGCCGGTCGCGATACAACTCCAAACAATACCGCGGGCCGCAGTGACACTTGAAATAGTAGATCAGCATGCTTTAAGACAGTGTGAAGTTCAAGGTAACACGAACCTGGCATGCTTTGTCTCCTCCGCCACATGTCCACTCGCATCGAATCCGGTGAGCGTTCCAGCAGTGAACAGGAAGCTCAAGATCCAGTTCCATCCGGCCGGCGCGCCCGTTCCATTGTACGTCTGCGTGAAGACTTCGCTCGCCGTACGCAAACCGTAGGAGTTGTGCGCCGCGATCGGGAACCAGATGACGCAAAGAAGGAAGTCGACCATCATGAGAACTAGCGAGAACTTGAACACTCCGGAGTAGTAGCGCGGGGGCATGAAGTTCATTGCGATAGAGATGAGCAGGATGCCCTCAGAGACGATCCAGATTAGAGTGCGCCATTTGATCGTGTCGTTGCCGACGCCGCCCGGGAAAGAGACGTCCCAAACGACCATCTGCGAAACAATGTAGTTCGTCGTAGACTGCAATTGCGGGTCAGATACGCTGTATGAGGAGAGTGAAATCTAATGCATGTACCTGACAGTTCGAAGCCACGAACGTCGCCCAGGCAGTAGTTGACCACCACGCTACGACGAAACCGAAGAAGCGAGCGTACTTGGGGCCTGCGCTTTCAGCGGCCCAGATGTAGATGGAACCGCTGAGCGGCAGCGCCGAGCAGATTTCAGCCAAAACGAAAGCCGTGATGGTCATGAACACAATGGTGATCACATAGGACGACCTGTAGAAGTTGAGCAACTCCCGAGCGGACGATACAAAAACACTAACCATACGGCAGCAGGGCCGCCAGCGAGGAGACCAAGGAAGAGGACCGAGCTGCAGTAGAGTCAGCTCATGCCATGTCACAGCATTTATGAAAGAACATACCGAACACCGCCGATGAAGTTCAAGGCGCAAAAGCTCGCGGCGAAGTTTTCGATAAAGTGCCAACTACGATGAAGTTGCTAGAGGCGAATGTCAGCGCTATCCTTCGATGGGCCACTATAGGACAGGTTGCTTGAACGGGCTAAGCTGTCAGCGCCGCCGTTTTCAGTCCCACGACTCCAAACAAGCTTAGCCGCTCAAAGCAAGCAATCCTCAAGTATGAGGGGAATGCTTCGTTCTTACCTGCTTGTAGCCGAGGCTTTGCTGGAGAAGGGGAACGTAAAGCGCGTTAGTAAACTCGTGTCTGCTCCCCCGCCTCGGGGGAGGGAAACAAAGTGAGTGCGACACTGGGGGCTTCCCTACGCAGGTCTGAGCGCTGATCAGGTTCAAGCGGTATGATCTCAACCCCCGCCCCACGAGCCGCCTCGCATCCACGCTCGGCAGCATCGCGCCCTCGGCTCCCGTCTCTTCGCAGGCCAGAGGCGGTGAAGCGGGTAAAAGAACGGGGATACCCGCAGCCAAAAGATCCAGTGTGCACCACCACTAAAACACGTTACCGATTCGAACGGATTTGTGAGTGTGCGCTCAGATATTTGCGGATGGTGGGAGGGCCCCTGCGCGCCGGCAGTTCTTCACCAGTTGGACTTCATCTTGGTCGAACGACGACACGGGGCCGCTATCCTTGCTGGCGATCGAGGCGCGAGGAGACAGAGACATGGCTGTGAGGATAGTCGTGGTAGGAGGGAAAGAGCCGTCGAGCTCGCAATTTGTCGCTCGAGGAGTTTATCTCTGCGCTCCGGTAAGGCACCACGCGGACATCTGCGGCGCCCAGAGATGGCGCGAGCATGGCCCAATCGCGAGCGCTTGCCTCCTACGTTGATGATGCATTCGCATATGTACTCGTACTGTGCTATCCGTCCAAAAACATTTTCAGAGTGTTCAGTCTCCAAGTGCACGAAGCTCTGACTGTGGCTCTGATAGCGCGCCCTGGGCCGCCACCTTCGCGGCTTCGCTCCTTGGATCTCTTCCGTTCCGATCTTTCTGCCACCGAACTTCCTTTCCGCAAGCGCCGAATCTGGCGCAAATGAGGGCCTGATACCGTCACCTCTCTCAACATTGACGATCGACCTATCTCATTGCTATACAGTGCTATACATGGAAGAACTACAACGTCCGCACAGGGCCTCGAGCTCAGTGCGTCCGAACAACTCCACGGCTACGTAGCGAGCGCGCGGATAGAACGCTTTGACCTTGCGGCCATGATGCGTTCGCCGGGAACTCCACAGATGTGCCCTTTTCCTTTGCTCGAGCTGCGAGATAACCTCATAATAACCCAGTGTTACCTGTCTTGGTGCTACCTGACACCGGAAATGTCAAGCATCTACTAGCGTGCACGACCCTGCGACCTAAGGACCTCGCGCAAAAGGCGCGGACAAAGAAGATCGTGCGTTTTTGCTGTTTCGGAAAGAAGGCGTTGACGTCACGTCGGTTCATAAACTTAAAGCCCCGCGGTTCGTTGAACGAAGCCAGCAGCCTACTTGCTTTACGACCACGACCACCCCGAATCACCCCAGCCGCGCAACGACACGAACGTCGCCTCGCCCACTATGAGCGCGCGTCACTTCTGTATCCCCGGCCTCTTCTTCCTGTTCTGCGCTTTCGTCCTTTCACTCATCGTCTCGATCTCGCTTCCGTCCTTGCCTGCGCTCGACATCGCGCGCACCAAGTTTTCCGGTGGAACCACCCAAGTCAGCAATGTGGATGGAGGGGTGAATGAGTTGCGCGTGCGTGACCATCTTTGTGGGTCTTTGTCGGCTCTGTTGGACTGACGCACTTTCACAGTTCGGTGTTTGGGCGTATTGCGCATACGTCAATGGCGACCGTAGCTGCATCGACCGCGGCCATGGCTACTCTGTGGACGTTTCGAGCAACAGTCACACCGAAGACATTACCGGGGGTTGGACCCGTGGACTCGCCGTGCACCCTGCCGGTACGTTTCATCATTCATACATGATCTGCACGCGTACTCACGCGCACAAACTCCAGCCACCATCGTGACGTTCCTCGCACTCCTCGCGGGATGCTCGACGCACATCACCCTGATGCTTCTCGCGTCCATCCTCTCTTTCCTCGCCGCCATCATCACCCTCATCGCGTTCGCCATCGACATAGCGCTCTTCGTCAACGTACACAACTCGCTGAACAACTTTGACAACCTCCGCGTCGACACGGATACCGGTCCTGGTGAGTTTGTTTTTGCTATCCATTGTAATCCTCTGACGTCGCCCAGGCTTCTGGATCACCTTCGTGACTCTGCTTCTGCTGCTTGTTTCCGGCTGCACAGTGTGCTTCGGCCGCCGCCGCGAGCGCATGTCCGGCGCGACTGCAACGACTTACCCTGAGAAGCCGGGTCTCCTCTCGCGCTTCCGTCGTCGTCGTGGTGCGGCTGTCTGATGTCTCGTTTTGTTGTGATGTTCGATCCTCATGGACTTGAAAATGCCGTTATGCTTTTCGGCTGCTGCTTTACTACTTGTTTTACCTTGCTGTATTAATGTACACGACACCTGCTCACGCTCATACCCGTTTCTAATCGAAGTACTTTGTCACTGTCTGCGCCGAATCCTCATGCCGAGCTCGTGGCTGCCATTTTTTATTTCAATGCAAAGCCCACCCAGATATGATGGATTAGTTCACCTCCAAAGTGCCTGCGGATGTCGAGTGTCGAGGTGCCGTTCGTACCAGTGAGTCTGGAAACCTGTACACCCAGTAGCGAGATGAACCGTACATCATTCGCTGCTTGTTGCGGCCACAGGTCGGTCACGTGGCGTAACACGATGTGATGCGTGATGTTTGCCACGTGCGAGAATGCACCTCTGTGCTGCTTCTAATTCTCGAGCTCGTACTGCCCCCTGACTGGGTACTACTATAACTCATCCAGCATTCCTTTGTCATTCGAGATACCTCCCTCACCAGGGCAAGGAGTGATCTATCAGTGATAGGGGTTATGGGACAGTCTGAGTCTTAAGTTACCAATCTAAGAAACCCGATATAAATACTTAGGCATGGGAAAGCGGCCTCAATAGTCCGATATTAATTTGTCATAGATGCCAGAAGCTACCAGAAAGGCTGTACACATGATCTGACATCATCAGCAAGTATAAAACACTTTCTTACTGCTTTTTGGGCGCTTTTTGGTTCCTTTTTGATCCCCATCAGCAGCCCATCAATGCTCCTCTGGGGCTCACTGTCTGCCTGATCCTTGTACACCTGGGTTATATAAACTCTCAAAAATATTAGAGAAGCCTCCCTGAGAGCTTGCTAAGCTTTCCACACAAATTTCACAGCACCTGTGCTATATCGAACACATTTTTTGCGCTTCAAAAGCATTTCCCTTATCACAGCTACAACTCTGTGATACTTCATAGAGCACATATACAGTGATGTATGTAACTTTTGCATATGCATGAGGTCGTTTGCTAAGCCGCAGTCCGATAGAAATAGCTTCTGGTGACTGCCAGACCGTATAATTCCTTGATTCCTGCCGAAAAAATGGTCAGTTTTATCTATGGTTCCTACCTCTAAGCTACTGAAAGAGTGCTAGTCAGATCAAAGTGATAGAGAGATTGAGATCATACTTGGTGGGGTAGAGGTGGAGAGCCTTGGTGAGTGTCAAGCCCAAGCTTGAGGCACTTGAGATCTGATCAAGATTGCCAGCCATGAGGAGTTCCCACGAGGTACCAGAGGCAGGTTTTGCCCGATCTTCAGCACCATCCCCATCCCTGTTGCTGGCATGCCAACTAGTAAGGCTACCAACACCTGATGTTGCTGCACAAGTTCAATTGAAACCCCAGCTGAGGTCAGTACCCCCACTATATGCATGCCTATCAATATCTTAATCAATTTACAGCCCAACTCAGGCAACAACTAATCAGCTGTGTGCACAACTCTGGGAGTGCCATATGCTGGAGCAGACCTCCACAGTCTCCAGGGTTGATGGCTTCAATGCTGCCTCCCATGAGACTCTCAGCCAGATTGCTGATACATGGGCTGCAGACTTGGTTGGGTATATGAGGGGAAAAGGCAAGGAGCATATCAATATTGGGATTCCTCTAGGGATCATAGAAGGGGCTAGAGTTGCACAGTTCCCAGCCTACATTCTGATAAGGTCAGGGCTGTACAAGGTTGTGTGTGAGGTGAGGAGAATGTACCAGGATGATGAGCTGGGGGTGGCAGCAAAGGGGCTAGCAGAGGAATGGGAGGACTCTTACAGTAAACCACTCCTCAACTCGTCCTGATGACTGTTTACGATATTTGATTGACCTTGTTCTGTCTGTACCACCCCCAAAAGTTGTCAGCATGCTCTCGAACCTATCCATCTGCAATCCCATCATACCTATTGCATCCCTGAAGTGAGATGACAGTCATCCACGAGTCCCACCATGAGGGAATGAGATAGAATAGCAATGCTCATCAAGACAGGTCGACCACATATGCAGGGGTATCAAAGGATTGCATCATGAAAGCAAGCAAGTATATATGAGAGGTATAAATGACCAAAAGCAATTAACAACGAAGCAGCATGGCGAGAGACAGACAGACGATTCGGAAAGCAGTCGAGGAGCAATCGAGAACGAGAACGGGACAAAAGCAAAGACGGAAAGATGCACATAAGGATAAGATGCTCGCGACCCCATCGCCGTCACGCCGCAGTGGCACCTCCACCACGCCCGAGCAAGCGCGACAAGAACCCGCGCGAATGAGTCCCGCGATTACTCCCCTCGTCGGCAGAAGTCGGACTCGTAGGCGAAAGCATAGGCGGCGACATCGGCCCGTCGCTCAGCTTAAGCTTCAGCGGCGGTCGCTTCTTGAGCTTATTGCCCGAAGCCGTGTCCGGGCGATCAGGCGGCGCGCTCGCGGAGCGCGGGCCGGAGTCGTTGGAGAATGCGGAGGGCGTGAGCGTTTTGGCGTCGAAGTCTTCGTGGATGCGAGAGTTGCCGGCGAAGGTTTTTGTGGGGGGTGGTGGGGCGGCGGGGAGGCCGTTGGCGCGTACGGGGGTTGGCGCGGCGAGGGCTCGTACGGGCGTGGGAGCGGGAAGAGCGCGCATAGGACGCGAAGCCGATGTGGAGGTCGGAGCAGCATACGCGCTCTGCGTACTCTCACGTCTTTGACGAGAGTGCGTCGCCGAAACCTCCTTCGAGATGCCGGTGGGATACATCCGACTGGCAGGTGGAGGTCCGACCTTGTTCTTGTCTGTCCGACTGACGTACTTGCGCGGCGGGAGTATACTCGCGGGAAGTGGATGATCGCCAGGAGGAAGAGACAGCGGGTTAAACGAGTCGCGCATCCAGATGTCGGTGCGTGTGCGGTCCGCGCTGTGATGACGACGAGGCCGGGGAGCATGAGGTACATCGCGGTCGCGATCTCGTTCTCTTGCGCGCCTCTTCTCAGGATCGTGACCGGTCACATGCCGATCTGTCGACTTGTCGCGTTCGCGCGGGCGCTCGCGACTGGCGTCGCGTTCTGCCCTGCGCGCAGCGCGGGAGGCCGCTGCCGCCTCGAGTATGCGCTCGTCCGCTCGCGTCCTGGATGCTTCGCGGCTGTTGTCAACACTGGCTCGACGACGTTCGCGCGATTCTGTGTGGTTCGACCGCTGTACTGTGACGGGATGGACCGAAACGACGCCGTTGAGATGTGTAGCGCCAGGGTGCGTGGCTGCAGTAGTCGGTGGTTGCGGCGTAGTGACACGGCGTCCAGTTGGCGCTGAAACGGCTGCGGGGCGAGTTGGAGGCCGTGGTTGACTGGAGGTCGGTGCGGGCAGCGCATATATCGGCTTCGCTTGAGGAAGGGAAGGCTGTGGCACGGTAGCGGCACCAGTCAGATGAGGACGCGTTGATGCGTCTTGCGGCGCAGAGCGCTGCCTGGTGTGGCCAGCCTCCGTCCATTGCCCCGGCAGAGGCGCTCGATGTTTGGCCGTCACGAGAAGCGGCGCATGTGCTTTAGACGCGCCAGCACCGCTTATTGATGCGTGAGGCGTACCGGCTGCGGTAGCAGACGCGTGCTGGGTGTCGCTCCTGGATCGCGAGTGTGTCGGAAGAGTCACAGCAGTCGCGGTGGGTCCGTTCAAGCGCGGACGTGCTGAGGGCAGAACACCCAGAGCACGCGTGGAGGTGAGGGGATAAGCCCTGGGAGCATCGCTAGACGCGCGGCGCCTCTGCTTCTGCTCATAGTACTCGTCGAGCGACATTTGAGTCCGGAGGACCGCTTCAGGCGGCCGCGCCGTATCAACAGAACCTCTCCTCGGCTGAGAAGAAGTCTGGAACTGATGCCGGTGATCAGTTTTATGCCCGGTTGCTCGTACAGCTGGAGTCTCTGGTCGCAGCTGGATGACCATAGCAGCTGGAGTCGGGGCCATGGAGCGCAAGTCCAGTGTTCTCGCGTCGATGTCTGAGCCGCTCGCGTATACATCGACCCATTGTTCCACCGCTTTCCGAGGTTTGCGAGGGGTTGACGCTGGAGTTGGTGCAGGTGATGGCCCGCGCTGGGTCTTTACGGCGGATTGCTTAACTGGAGGCGGACCCATCAATGCCTTTCGGGGGCCCGGTGACGCCAACATGGACGTGAGATCCACTGTACGCGCGTCGATGTCCTCGCGGAACCGAGATGTGGCTACACAGATCGAGTCAGTCAGGCCGGGAACACAAGTAAACACTCAAATTCACCTGGTACCAGTTGAGAGCTCGAGGGCGTAGGAGCAGAAGATGCGTTATTTTGCGGCTGTTTCCCGACTTGCGGCACGCGCTCAGTCGATTCTGCTGGACATTGAGTACATGGCGATATCATTCGATGGGAGCAACTCACGAAACTGCATCTTGTACATTTGCTCATAATAGGCCTTGTCGTGTTGCCTATTTCCGGCCGACATTTTGGTCTGCAGAGTCAGGCGCTTGAATTAGATGTGTTGCGAGCGAACAGGCGAGGCGTAGAGGGAGGTGCGCAGCGGGTGACGAAAGCGGTCGAGCTGTGGTTCTCGCCGCGTTGTAACGGCGTGACGTTTATATAGAGCCAGTGAGCGCCGTGGCCGCCACGAGGCGAACAGTGTTCTGCGCTGCCGCCCTCGCATGACTATGGCCAGACGCGCGTCGGTTTGTGACGTGTCGAGAACAAGAACGCCTACGCACAATAGCACTGGTCAAGGAGACAAACAAGATACAAGAATGGCTGTGATATCTCCGAGTAGAAGAAGTGCAGTTGTTGGCGTCAATGAGGACAATGCAGCGTCTGGTCTAAAGGCGCTCGGACTGGCGTGGGAGGAAGCGCAGAAAGTGACCAAAGGCCGCAAGTGGGACGTGTGAACGGGCAACGTCGTCTATGTCCGCGTCGGTGTGTCCCAAAGCGGTGAAGCGAGCAAAGAGAGGTGCAGCCGGTAGCCGCCCGACGCGCGCCGTGGAGGTAACGAGGAGAAGCGCGAACGCACCCGCTGATACCGAAATCCCAGTCACGCTCCCAACCTCCAATTCTGTCTCATGGCCGGCCACCGACTCTCGCGCGCTGCGAGGATATTATTCCGATTGCACTGCGCCCGCCCGTACTAAAGGGGGACGCTTGGAGTATGCGCTAGTCATGGTCGTTGATAAGAAGAAACGGGTAGTCGCCCTGAACGGAGCGTTCGCAGCGGCGCACGCGCCTTGGCTGCAACTCCCATGTGCTACACCTCATCCGCTCATCCGGGCTTTTCGGCCTTCCGAGTGCTCTTGTACACGTCACGCTACATCGAATATACATACACCTTACTTGTGAAGCTCGTGTGCCTATGTTTGGCTATCATGAGCAGGGGGCTGCTCAAGCACCTCCCGGCCTCGTTGGGACCCGCACTTTTGTTTCACTGTGAAATGCCACCACCGTCGCACATTGACGAGCTGCCTATCCCAGACAACGATCGGGTGTACTATGATGGTATACAAGAGTGTTTTGTTCTGTATCGGTATCGCAAACGGTCGTAAAGATCGTAAGTAAGGAGTGTACAGCTGATACCATCTATCAGCGATCCGCATTGTCCCTCATGCAGAGCAGTATCCCAAAGAGAATAACATCTTCGCAATGTTCATGGTCCACTTCACGAACGACCTTCCAAAGCCCTCGCACAAACCTCCTGAACCTCATACGCAGTAGCCGCCAACGCCTGCTCCTGCGCCTCGGCAAAAGGCAACCCAATCCTCTGCGCGCGATCAAGCCCGCTCATGTACATCTTCCACACCCACCGAGCGTCATCGTCCGCGTTCAGCTCTCTAACTGATTGCTGCAGGTCTTCGAGTTGGACACTGAGGTGGTCGGAGCATTCTGATTTACACGACTTGTAGGAGGAATGCGACGAGCCTGAGAGCGCGGATTTCGTCGCCGACGAATGTGTTGACGGTGGAGAGGGCAAGATCTGCACGTTGCGGCGGGATGCGCGCGATGGTCTAGGCGTTCGAACTCCATCTCGGCGGTTGGTGCGTACAGTCCTAGTACTACCGCGAGACCGCTGCTGCCCGCCACTACGCCCACGTTCCCCCTCGCGACTGCTCGACGACGACGCATCTCCCTTCCAAAGGTCCAACCGGTACATGGGCGGCGCCCACTTCTTCGAAGCGTGAGGGTTGAGCTCGGCAGCTTTCCAGGCGACGACTTTCTTCTGCGCCCGATACTGCTTCTTGCGCTCGTCCTCCGCTTTGTAGAGAGCGTTCGCGTTCAGCCACCTCTCGATGTGCTCGAACTTCGTTTTCGTTTTCGTCTCCCCGATCTCACACAAGTCCGCCTTGTCGACGCTGTAGCCGTTGATGACGGCCTTCTGACTCCAGCCAAGATGCTCGGGCGGAGGCGCGATCGTCACCGTCGAACTCGTCGACCCTTCGCCCATACTCTCCACCTGCGCTTGCTCCCTCAACCCCGCAACACCCTGTCTCCTCCTCAACGGCCTTCCCCTCTTCATCACTACTTCAACCTCGGCATCCACAACAGTCTCGCTCTCCGGCTCAGAATCCGAGAACAGGTCGGAGATACGCGCCGCCGCCTGTGCGCCCGGATCGCTGAAGTGCTTTTGCGCGCGCTCGAGCCAGGGAAGTGAACGATCGCGTGCGGAGTAGGGCGGAGGGACGGCTGGGAGGGGTTTGTTGCGTGCTGCGCGTAGTAGGTTCTTCTCCGTCCTTCCCTTCTCTTTCACATCCAACGGATACGCCTCCCGCGTAGACGTACGCGATCGTAATCGTTCAGCGCGCAGCGGGTTCTCCTCGTCCTCGCGACACCTACTCTCTGCCCTGCTACTCTCCCCCACCCGAACACTCCTATCCGACCTAACAACACTCCTCCGCACGAGCGCACCCATATCCATATTCCGCACGTCCCTCCTATGCCTCCTTCGCCGCGCGTTCTCCTCGGCCGCAGCGTAGATCGACTCGCTGCTCGTGGCCGCGTGAGAGTGGACGTAGATCTGGATTGGTTGTTGCGAGGGCTCGTGGAGGAGGTTGCTCAGGGAGAGGGAATGGGAGGAAGAGGCAGAGTGGGAACGGGTGAATGGGAATGGCGCGAGGAGGCTCGGAGTTTTCATGGCGGACTATCTAGAATGGACACACGCAGTCATGTCAGCGGCCTGTCCGGGATACGATCTGACAGGGATCGCACTTACGATGAAGTAGGTCTAGATAGGGACCGGAAAAGGACGCGGACAAGGACGGGCGGACCGCACGTATTTCAACCCAGATCTATCGCGATGCGCTTTTATGCGAGGACGAACGGTCAAAGCGGAAGAACTGCATGGGGCGGGCTGTGGTCTGGGAACCACTTGGAAGCTTCGTTGAGTGGCTTTGTCCAGGCGTGGTGGGAAGGATGTGCGGGCCGAGCGTGTGGTTGACCGTGGGCCGGCCGACTGTGGTCGACGTCTACATACGACTCTATGGAGTCGGTGGTTCCGCTAGAAGGTGTCGCTAAGTGGGTTCAGGGTTGGGATCGCAGTCGGTCTTCTATGAATAATGATTTTCGATATGCAAGCTTGAGGATGTAGCATTCGGTGAGCGGTTCAACGAACATGGCTCGCATGGGGGAGATCAGAGCCCGCTGTGCATAGTCGTGACACGGTGGCTCGACCCGGTATCGTCGGGCCGACATGTGCATTGTGTATCCGTCTTCTTCGCGACGCACGGGCCTTCATGAGAACTTCAGGGTAGAGTCAACCAACTCTAACAAAGCGTTGCTTCTTGACTTCGGTGTGGAGTACATACGGGTCAAAAGGGTGGCGTTGACGTCGTTGAATGTTGTCGCGTCACCACGACTACTTTGGAAATAGAAATGCTCAGAGGGCCGAACGCGAGTAAACTGTCAAAAGATATTGAATAGACGCATGTTCTGAGAAGGGAACGACGGTGATAACACCGATGCGACCGAATGACGGCGTCTGCACGAGAAGACGCAGAAGGAAGACGGGACTGTGTAGGTGATGACCGAGTGTACCCACGAGTCTATTGCAGCGCTCATCGTCTTTGCCCACCTCTGCTTACGCAGAAGCCGCAGTCTTTTGACAATGACAAAGATAGAGTCCCCTTGAGCCCTACGCGCGTGAAACGAGGTAGCACCGCTTGAAACCGGCAAGCAGCGCACGTTCAAGCGGTACATGAGAGCGCACGCCTTTCATATAACCGCTTTGATGATACTGGCATGGAAGCATCCAACCGTGACGGTTTCAACAAAACGTAGAACATTGACCTCAGAGGCCCTTCTTAGTTCGGTTGGCATGGTGCCAGTCCAGCTGTGAACTCGAACATTGACTGGGCTGTGCGAATATAGGTCGCGTAGTACTTGCTGGAATGTGCATGGGGCTACATTCGTCGCGGTTGAAACGCAGTAAACGGGCCACAGTCAGATCGCAAATGAGGTTTGAGATGGAGGGCGGAACAAAGTTACGATATTGTGGCCTTGAGGCGGGGTTGTGACCACGTGCCCCTCTCCAATCGGGCGCGGGCGCACGTTCATGATTTCTTCTTGAATCTTGTCTTTCACGAAGCCAGCCATCACTCTCGCCTCTCGCTGTCTCTGATGCTCGCACTGCTGCCCTCAGAGGTCCGCCCACCGCCCGTCGCGCACCCGTCTATCACGCGCCGCAACACAGCCAACCAACAAGCCCCATCACGCCCGCCCCCGCCATCAGCCGTGGCGAGCTCCTCATCGACAACCCGCCCGTCCTCCTCGTCCCTCACCCCGACTCCAACAGCTCCCGCAGCACCGGCAGCTCCCGCACCCGGCCCGTCACAAATAAACATCCACAATTACCCCAGCGCGGAGTTGTTGAGGTTGCTCGCGAGCCTGCTCACCCAGATCGCCCAGGCGAACGACAAGCTCCAGGCGCCCGACGGCCCCGCGCCCGTACCAAGCCCCACAGCGCTCGCGACGCGGCCGGTATGGCATACGTTGACCACTGCATCACGTGGTTCGCTCGCCAGCCAGACGTCGCCGCTCGCGTTCCACGCCCGCACGGTGCCCACGATCTCCTTGCACGCCTACCTCGCCCGTATCCACAAATACTGTCCGGCTCCCAACGACGTATTCTTGGCGTTGCTGGTGTACTTTGACCGCATGGCGCGGCTCAGTGCGGATGCGACTGGAAGGGCCTTTGTCATTGACAGCTATAACGTACACCGGCTGGTCATCGCGGGCGTTACGGTCGCCAGCAAGTTCTTCAGCGATGTGTTCTATACGAACAGTCGATACGCGAAGGTGTGTGTGATTTTACTTTTGGTCAACGGGATATTGTGGGACTGGCTTGCCGGCTGAACTCGTAACGAGTACCCCGCCCCGCGCCACAACCGCGCGTCACGGCCAAGCCGGACCACAACCGCCCACTGGGCGCCTACCATCTGCGCCACTTCATTAACAACACATGTCCCGCACATATCTATTCACATATACGTCTGCTTGTGCAATAAATAACACTGTACTGACGTGTACTTTCCATTTCAGGTCGGCGGCCTCCCGCAATCCGAGCTGAACCAACTGGAATTGCAATTCTTATTGCTCAATGACTTCCGTCTGCGGGTGTCAGACGATGAGATGCAGCACTACGCAGACCAGCTCGTGCTGTTCAGCCATACAAATGCTGTCCCACCATCACCGTCTTCGCTACCTCTCGCATTGGCCGATCCTACCGGCTCTTCTCATCCACATCATTCGCACCACCACGAGCATTCGTCGCATAACCATCATCCACACCACCCATCGCATCTATCGCACTCATCGACTTACCCCACTTCGTCCACTTCTGCTTCCGCCTCATCTTCATCTGCGCACGCCTCGTCAAGCGCGACGCCACACGTAAACGGCACCACCAACCGACCACGTCTAACGCACCAAGCGTCGATGACATCTTTGGCGTCCGAGACGGAGTCTACGGACGCGGGAGGGAGCACGGACGACGAGCCGACTGTGCGGCCTGCGTACAGTACGGCTAGTCATACGGACGATGAGACGGACGACGACGATGATGATGGGATTGGGAGCGATGGGACGGAGGGGGCGGGGAGCGATGAGGAAGAGGATTTGGGTGATGGAGGGAGAGGAGGGAAGGGTGCGCGATAGCGGACGCTCGGCGACGATAGTGCTGGGCACCTACGCGTTGTACTCTGCGATATTTTATTGCTTCAAGTCCCCCGTTGCGCTTTCGCTTCATCTGGATCTCCCTCTCCCTCTCATTTCCATCACACATCGACTGTACATCATCTGCACATGTTCCTCTCCGTCTCGGCCCTTTCCTTTCTCTCGGAGGATGCTTGCACGTTGAGGCCGAAGGTTGTTTTTTTGAATGTTTGTAAGGATAGGACGAAATAAGCTAGATTGCAATCTTTTTTATCGTTGATCGTACGCATCCGTTTGTTACATATACTGTAGAGTTTTTCTGTTCAATCGGCATTGAATATCTGTGCTTTTTCGCTTTCTGGTCAGCTTTGTGGTATGCCTGCCATGTCGTGCCATACCGCGATTAGATCTCAAGGAGTTTTTGAGTTTTTGCGCGTCATGGGAAGCCTGCGAATACCGTCGGCTACGGGACACAGCCTGTGGCGCCGGCGGGATGCGCATCATGGGAGTGAGCGAAGGGATGGATGGGCGCCGGTGAGCTGAGGGCGGGCATGGGTGGTTGTGGGCGCATGAGGGCGGCGGGTGCTCCACGAGCTCGCGTCGCTTCTTCGCGCGGCGATCTTGTCCTGCCACTACCACCGCCTCCGGAAATTATGGCGCCGGAAATAATATCGCTTGTGGCCAATATCTAAGTTGATGCCCGTACGACTGCGTTATGCTCTACGCGAGGGGGCTGCACGTTGATCTCGTCGTACTTTGTAGAGCGACGCAAGCTCGACAAAGCCGCCGGAATGGGGACTTGAGACCTCTATACGCTGTACACGACCGCACGCTCATCATTCACTGTCTCCAAAGACATGCACTGCCTAGTCCTGTGCCTCTGAATGGCAACTACACAAAATCGCCGTGCATACGGACTGGGCATCCGAGCAGACATGCGTTCCGATGCATCACGGGCGCCTTCCTCCGTGCCGAGCGAAGCGAACGCATTCAGCAAGGCGACTGCCTTCTTGATCTTGGTACGGACACAAATGTCCGTCTGCTTGAGCATCGCGCTGCTATCGCGTGGCCTACGCGTACTGAACGAGGAGTATAAAGCATAGGACCCTCCAGCGAGGAAGAACCAGTAACCAGCCAGCCCGTCCAAGCCAATCAGCTCTCTACCAAACGCTCTTCACTACCCTCACGCACTCAACCATGCACGCCTCATTCAAAGCCCTCGCTCTCCTCGCCGCCGTCGCCTCGGCCTCCGCGACGAGCTTCAAGCTCAAAGCGCACGTCACAGCCAACGACCTCTCGCCCTCCGTCGAAGGCCAATACCTCAACGTCGACGCCTCAACCGGCTACGCCTACCTCACCCAGCCCGGCTCCGGCGCGTCCTTCACGGACGACAACAACACCATCAACACCGGTGCTACGCACATCCACATTACGCCCGGCGGTACGGCGACAGTGCCTAGCACGAACGTCGTGACGTTCTCCGCGGACGCGGGCACGCCGGCCGTGGACGTTGAGAATGGCGCGCTTCAGTACGCGGGGGGCGTGTTCGTGGCTTGCCCGGCGAGTGTGTTGGAGAAGGACGGTGCGGAGGTGCTGATTAGCTATAAGAAGGCCGGACAGAGGACGCTTTACGGGTGTGCGGACCTTTTGCTGTTCCAGGATGCGTAGGCGAAGGTTGTGGAGGGGTTTCGGGTCGGTTGGGGAGATGTTGGATGGCAGTGGTCGAGTGGACGGTTGCGGACTCGGATTGCGGATGTTACGACTTACCCTATGTTTCTGAAGTAATCGCCTTGCTTTCTCTTATTCACAAATCTGTCCTTTCGAAAGTTGGGATGGGAGTGGCGAACTCCGAAAGCGGCTTGATCAAATGATGGAGGCCACGAAGACGCGCGGTCAATACTCTGCTACCGACCGCCACCTTACGCTCCCCTCCGTCCTACTGCTGTCTCGCTACATACAATTGTTTCCAATATACACATCTCATTCGGAGCCTACAAAATGCGTGAATCTGAGTGCCATGACTGGTCGGATATGTGCAATGTCTGCACAAGATTGTGAACACGGCGTCTCGTCGTGGCCGCACCACTAGTACTGCCTTGGGCGCTGACGCTATCATGCGAGGTCAAGATGTACGGGAGCTGATACTTAAGCAAGGAAGAGACAGGAATGCGAGTATGCGCGAACTCAGTAAGGCAAGATGTGTGGTACGTGGACCATCGTCTCTTTGTGCCATGCGGGCTTTCTGGCTGAATGACGACTTCTGCAGGCGGCGTCAACTGGTCCGTGATAGTGGACCAGTACTCCAGGCAGGCAAAGAAGCTCTATCTACAATCATGGTCCCGCACACCACAGACATGGACTTCGCGTTATGCGTTGACGCTGCACGTCGCTTCACTTGACGCCCGCTGCGGTTCGATTCCTTCCTCCGGTCAAAGCTCCGTTCTTCCGTCGCATCACGGTGACCTTCCTTTCGTACCCCAAAACGCCTTCAACACCGAGTAATCACTTGCTTCTCAGTCTTGGTACGGACAGTCTTGCCCGGTATACGGTGCAGGTCGCAACTGGGGTAGTCTTCGCGTAGAGCACGACCGATATATAATCTGGCACTCAGTCGCTTAATTGATCCAGCAACCAACCAGTCTATCCAAACAAAACAGCCTCTACCAGACGCTCTACATTCTTCACGCACTTGACCATGCACGCCTCGTTCAAAGCCCTCGCCCTTCTCGCAGCCGTCGCTTCAGCGTCCGCCGCGAAGTTCAACCTCAAGGCGCACGTCGCGTCCGGCGACGACCTCTCGCCGCCAATCGAGGGCCAGCTGCTCGCCGTCGACCCCGCGACCGGCTTTGCATACCTCACGCAACCCAGCGGAGGCGCGGCCTTCACGGACGACGACAACACCATCAACACCGACGCCACTGGCTCTCTCACTCACATCCAAATCACGCCCGGTGGCAACGACACCATGCCTGACACGAACGTCGTCAGCTTCTCAGCGGACGCTGGGACGTCGGCTGTCGATATCGAGTTCGGTGCACTTCAGTACGCGAACGGCGCGTTCTCGGCTTGTCCCGCGAGCGTTCTTCAGCAGGACGGGGACAAGATCCTTATCAACTACGCGAAGTCGTCTCAACGCTCGCTCAAGAGCTGCGCGAGCCTTCTGCTCTTCCAGGCGTAGGGCGGAAACGAGGAAGAGCTTCACGTCCATGTCGTGTGCGGGGGAGGGAGGCGGTCTGTTTGGATGAGGCTCGTCACCAGTCACTGCGGATACTTTGACTTGGATCGCCGTGCTTGTTACGACTTTTTACGCTACTTTCTCCATATCCACTCGCTTCCATCCTTTATCTCATTACCTTACCTCAGCTCAGTCTATCGAATGGGGAACATATTTGATTTCGGAGACTTCGTATGAGCTGCGGGCAGGCATGGATGGTTGTAGGCGCGTCAGGGTGGCGGTCGCTCCGCAAGTTCACGCCGCTCTTCGCGCGGCGATCTTGTCCTGTCACCACCATCATCTGCGGAAGTTATGATGTCGGAAGAGTAAATGTCACTTGAGGCGGGTCTTTGACCTCATGTGCGTATGGCCATTCGTCAATTTCCGAGCGGCCAAAAACGCCATCACCTGGATACTGCACATACTACGCGGGATACAACCCTCAGTGCCAACACCTCTGCAAGTACAGATGACGCGCAAGAAACCGTACATGTTCATCTAAGCAATCGGGACGAGGTGTTCAATGTAAAACAAGGCCTTTCAACACACTCTCACACGCCATAATGGACAAACGGAGCCCAACGTAAGAAGTTCGTCTCACCAACACGCTTCCGCAACACCTGAACCGCCTCGTGTAGCGCGTACGCCGCGCCTGTCTCCCCTTTCCCAAGCGTCCTTGCACTACGCAGTTCCAGCAGCTTCTTATAGTACGCTTCGACGACTACTGGAGCGTCGGCATCTCCTATGGACCACATCGTCGCCACTACACCCTTGTAGCCGACAGCGAGCATACCCGCCGCGAGGTGCACGGCTTCCTCCGGATTCTTCTCGTCCCCAGTCGCTGTCTGGCAAGCGGAGAGGAACGCGAGCTCAGCATCATCTGATACGGTTTGCATCAGGTCTGCGAGCGAGAGAGGACCGTCATAGAGGTGGAAAGCGCTCTTGGTAGGGTCACTCTTGCGCTGAGAGCCGTGGCAAGCAAAATGCACCCAGGAGTGTCGATCCATGACCGACAGCACAGCTTCTCGGGTAGCCTGCTTATGATTGAGCACGTCGTGTGGCATCTTCGACCCGTTAAGAAGCTGGCAAAGCCGACGACTTTCCTCCATAGTTCCCCGAAGTGGAGCGTGCCCTGGTGTTTCGGACTGCGTGACGATGAGTACGCTTGAAGAGGCCGCTTTCTTCGCGAGACCTTCGGCCGCACGTGTGAGCGCCGACAAGGAGGGCGCATATGATGATACAACATAGTCGTATGCTCGAGGCCCGTTCCGTTCACTGTAGCGACCTGCAGCGTGGAGAGGTATCCGTGTCAGTGGCCCAGTCGGGCACCAAGTGATGTGAGGTTGAGCCTCGGCCTGTATCTTCCGTGTCGATCAGTTCAATTCCTGGAATAAAGCCACATTCATACTCACATTGCAAAGTAGGTTGAGGGCCTCTAATACAGGGCGTACGACCCAGTCCCAAAGACACTCCAGAAGGTGATCACAAGTAAGATGCTTTTCTTGCACAAAAGCAGAATGACGTTGGAGATCGTCCGTGTCCGAAGTTGAAGTTGTTTGCGCACATGAAGAGGGCGCAGTCGGCGAATCCGAGCTACGCGTGCACCTCCCTAGCTGGTGAAGTTGCTCAATCCAGAGCGACTGCAGTTCTTCCGCTCGATCAAGGGAAAGTTCGGGAAGGTCGACTAGCATGGGCTCATCGTGGCAGGGCGCAACAACTAGAGCGTTGCAGGGGAAATTATTCGCGTTGATATACACGAAGTGTCCGTGACACAACTTGCGAGATTGGAGTAGAGTGGAGAATGGTTTGGAAAGCAAGAAGTTCTCAAAGCCCTCGCACTTGCGTATCTGTCTGAGTAAGCCATCGCGTTTGATGCTGAACGCACGATGATGATCCAGAACCGTATCGCACGAGCCTTGGCCGTCTACGACGGCGTGAGGATGGTCTGACCGAAGGAAGTGAGCGGTGTGCTGTAGTTGCCGTTGGACCTGATATAGATCTTTCGCCAGATCGGGACGATGCATCTCAAGCTCGTCCATCGGGGTGCGAAGAGCCAAAAGTTGAGACCAGACGAGAGACCTGCCCGTCTCGAGCCACTCGACCGCTCGTGGCAGCGCTCCATGTCGGATTGCAGTCGATACTGCATCGTAGACGTGGTGAGCCAGCCAAGAAGATTCTTCGTAACGGCGATCAAGGCTATGTCCCACCCATATAAGCTCCGGGAGAATTCGCATCAGATGTGAATGAGCATCCAAGAGCAACGCGGTGCTCGCGAAGTTGGGATGTTCAGTTACTAACCTGACCAAGCGAGTAGCGGATCGGAATTGTGTGAATGAGGAGCCCGATGGGCAAGCGATCGCATTTACAAAGCAGGCGCTTGCTTCGTTGAAAGCGGTGAAAGCGGGCCTCTGCTCGAAGAGTTTCCGGAGTGCTGTCCCAAGATTGTTTAGCCATTCAGGTTTCTCAGGGTGCCCATCAGGTGTGATTTGAACGGCACAACGTATCGCTAGCACTGCCTGCTCAAGATCATGCAGCTCGCCAGCTCGCTCGAAGCGGCTCTGTAACGCGACGCCGAGGTTGTTCAACGAGGTCGGTTTGAGGGGATGTCCGTCAGGGGTGAGCTCGACAGCGCTGCGTCCTGAAGATATCGCCTGAGTGAGATCTTTGAGATTGCCTACACGCTGGTAGCGTGCCTGTAGCGCTATACCGAGGCAGTCCCACAGACGCGGCTTGTCCGGGTGTCCTTCAGGCATGAGCGCGACAGCGCGGCATTGCGTTGATATCGCAGCATCGATATCTTCGAGCTCTTGGTGACGACTGAAGCGGCTCTGTAGAGATTTCGCGAGGTTGTGCAACCAAGTCGGTTTGTAGGGACTCTCATCGGGTGCGAGTTCCACAGTGCGGCGCTTCATGAAGATCGCCTCCTCGATATCCTCCAGCTCGCCGATGCGCTCGTAGCGGTTCTGTAGCGCGGCCCCGAGATTGCTCAACCACTTCGGTTTGTCGGAGTGCCCATCAGGGGTGAGCACAACGGCGTGGCGAGTCATCGATATCGCGGCCTCCAAATCCTCGAGTCGACCATGGCGAACGAAGCGGACCTGGAGGGCACTACCGAGGTTCCCTAACCATCTTGGTTTGTCAGGGTGTCCATCGGACGTAAGCCCGACGGCACGGCGTTTCGTCGACGTCGCCTCCTCGAGGTCCTCAAGCTCTTCAAGGCGCTCGAAGCGGCTTTGTAAAGCGGTACCGAGGTTATTCAGCACAGTCGGTTTGCGGGGGTGTCCATCAGGCGTCAGTTCAATCGCGCGGCGATAAGTGGATATCGCGGTCTCAAGGTCCGGTAGCTCGCCGGCGTATTGAAAGCGACAATATAGAGCAAGACCGAAGTTGTTCAACTGACTGGGTTTGCCGGGGTATCCATCGGGTGTAAGCGCCACGGCGCGACGGTTCGCCGCTAGCGCAGCGTGAAGGTCTTCGGGGTTACCGACGCATTGGAAGCGATCCAATAGAGCCACGCCAAGATAGTTCAGCGAGGCCACTTTGCCGGGGTGTTGGTCAGGCGTGAGCAACAATGCGTGGCGTCTCAATGAGATCGCAGCCTCGAGATCCGCGAGCTCGCTGAGGTGTTTGAAGCGGTCCTGTAAAGCGTTACCGAGATTACTCAGCAAAAACGGCTTATCGGGGTTTCTATCAGGCGTGAGTTCCACCGCACGGCGGTTGTTTGATATTGCAGCCTCGAGATCATCGAGCTCTCCGGCATGCTCAAAGCGGCGATGTAGTGCGATGGCGAGGTTCCCGAGCAAGCGCGCTTTGCCACTATATTCATCGGGCATGAGTTCGACAACGCGGCGATGTGTTGTTATTGCAGCTTGAAGATCCTCGTCCTTGCCGACGCGTTCGAATCGACTTTGTAGTGCGACCCCAAGACTCTCCAGCAGAAAGGGACTCTCATTCAAGTCCGGCGCGATGTGCAAAGCGCGTCGGAGAAGGAATATTATCTCGTCGTTATCTGCCGCGGACCTCGATTCTCTCGCGCGTGCTAATAGGCATGAGCTGAACTTCAAGGTGAAGTCGATGTTCCCAGGCTGCGACGCATACGCAGATCTCATGAGTTCTACGGCGGAGTCGAGCGGTAGGCGGTCGCTGACGATCATAGGGTCTTCGTCGAGATGTTTGGTGGAGGCGATTTCGTGGGTATGCTCGGGCTCGCGACCAGCGGTTTCGGAGGGAGCGCTGTCCATCGCGATAGTTCTGAGAGGACACCTATTGATGCAAGGTCAATTGTACGAAGTACAGGATAAGACGGCGTAACTTACGCAGAATAGCAAACGATGTTCGACGGTTGCTTAGGCGAAATGTCCGTGCTTACAGAACGATAGATTGGTGTGAACCATATGCGTGCGATATGGAGGGCGGAGTACAAGGGTTGAACTTGGCCTGTGCTGATAAGCCCTTGCCTTTGCGAGCTTTCTCATGGCCCGAGCACATGAGACTGGCTGATCGCACGCCGGGGCAAGGGAGAAAGCAGATGTATGAGACACACTATCAGTCTGATAGGAGGTGAAGTTGTGCATGAAAACTCTCATATTGTCACGTTGCCCTCGATGATATCTCCCTCGCGAAGCAGTGCGCGCGTGTAATGGTGGAAGTAGGAGGACAAGACGCGCCAGACGCGGCTCGGCGCGGCGTCGCGGCTCGCGTCTTATTCCCATCCACCGCGGTGTGAGTTTGGTCGACTATCTATGTTGCTGAATGAGACGCCCTCCTACGAGACACACACACGGACATAATTGGCTCTCAAAGAGTTTATATGTAGAATTATTCACCATGTATCGTACAAGACTCGGTGACTCGGGCCGATCCGCCGCAGAGGCCAAGCGCGCGCCGCCTTAGCGCTTAGCGCTCCGTCCCAAACCGTCATCTTCTGCAGGATCGGACATGCAGTATCTTCCACTTCAACGACGTCTCGGACGTAGTGCGCCTAAGTCTACGCATCTGCCTGGGGCGTTCGACCGCGACATGCGTGATGTATGAGCCCCAGTCCCACTGCTGGAGCTGCCCGCCTGATGGCCTCTTGCGTCACCATCTACGCCTTACGCGACGTATGTCTTCTCGAAACAACATATAACCGGCCTCGAATGTTGCCAGGCCTCTAAGAACACAAGTTATGGCATCACTCATATCCTCTGTACTGTCGGCATCCTCTTCGACCTCCTCCAAGCCCGAGCAATATGAAAAGGGCTTCAAGCCCGACCCGTCCGCGGAGAAGCGCGAACAGGGAGGCGAGGGTGCTCGACCGCCCGGCCAACAACACAAGATGCACAGTGCGTATATTGCACACTATCTACACTCCAACTGTAGTCTGATGTCACCCTAGCCGAGCCCTTGAACGATGTCTACGTGGATGGCACACCGTATAAACCTTCCGGCAAGCTTGAGGGCAAGGTCGCGCTTACCACCGGCGGCGACTCCGGTATCGGACGTGCGTTCGTCATTCTAGCTGCGCTTGAAGGAGCAGATAGGTATGTGCTTTCTTAGTATATCGTGAACATCAAGCTCATCAATGTCGTAGCGCCATCGTTTACCTACCAGCTGAGCAGAAAGACGCCGAGGACACTCGCGCCGAAGTCGAGAAGAAGACGAACGGCCAGCGAAAAGTCCACCTCATTGCCCTCGACGTCAAGTCCGAGGCCAACTGTCGCAAGGCCGTTGATGAGACGCTTCGCGTCTTCGGCAGGATCGATGTTCTGTTCAACAATGCGGCACAGCAACTCGAGAACCACGACATCCTCACGCTCGACAGCAAGCAATGGGAGGATACCTTCCAGGTCAACATGCACCCGATGTTCTACTTCTCGAAGGCCGTCATCCCGCACATGAAGCCTGGGTCGAGCATCATCAACAACGCCAGTATCAACGCCTATATTGGCCGTCCCGATTTGCTTGACTACACGAGCACGAAGGGTTCCATCGTCGCGTTCACCAATGGCTTGTCGAATCAGATCGTTGGAAGCAAGGGTATCCGCGTAAACGCTATCGCGCCGGGTCCGATCATTACGCCTCTCGTCCCGGCTACCTTTTCGGAGGAGAATCTGAAGGGGGTCGATAGCACGCCTATGGGTCGTCCTGGTCAGCCCATCGAGTGCGCGGCCCCTGTGATCTTCCTGCACGTCCCCTTTGTTATCTCGGCTCTTGGGTCGTCATCATGCTGACGTGACTTTTCAGTGCCAGTCGCGATGCGTCGTATATCACGGCTCAGACCATCCATGTTGATGGTGGCGCGTACCCGACGTAGAGGGATAGCATCAATGGCTGAGGGAAATAGCCTACATTGTTTAAACATGTACTTGTACGCTTTTTGACATTCCTTACACTTAGCGCATCCACCCACTTAGTCATTCAGCGCCTCTCGTAGTGTGACTACCGTACTCAGACATACTTAAAGCGGCACGGCCTTTCGATCGATGATCGTAGACGAAACATCACAGGCATCTCGGCTTGATCCCGAACCACCATGACATCGCAAGAACAAAAGCCGTCGCGCTGGCCGTCGTTCCGCGTTCGCGCATAACATGTTCCCACATAGCTGCAGCGTGTCAATACACGGGAGTGCTTTGCCCATTCTCTGCTTCCGTTGTACTGTTGGCGATGGATGGGCGCTCGACCGTCAATAGCTGCATCGACCATCCCTACAAACCGACTCTGCCTCCGCCACTTGTATTGTTAACTTGATGGCCACCCATATTGTTCGTAGCCGCATGCTCTGACATGCCGTTTGTATGCGTACTGGGGCCACGCAACCACGGCTCCGGTCGTGGTCTACGCTTTGTTCGCTGGACTGGAGTATAAGAGGCCCGGACGTCCTGCAATGTGGCCCTCGTCCTGCTCTCGCTAGACGTTTTCTCCGTACGTCCCCCTTTCGATCAACCCGTCCGATCCTGTACTGACAGAGGAGTCTCAGAGTATGTCCCGCCCAGCTATCCCAAGTCTCCACCGCAAGAACACTGGGTTGGTCTCCAATACTCAGTCGACGCCCACTCCCACGTCGACCCGATCAGCGCAGCGCGGACTCGGCCCCGCACTCCCGGCGGCCTCCGTTGCGCCTCTGCGTCCCATCAAGAGAAGAGGTTCGCTGAAGGAGACCGCGCAGAAGGTCCAAGCGTCCGTTTCCAAGACGCTCGGCACGTTCAAGCCGTTCCCGATGGGCAACGCTGTGGATGTGGGGGGAGGGAGGAGCCCGCAAGGGACAACTCGCGTAGTAGATGGAGTTGAACCGCGGGCGCACAAGAGAGACGGGAGTGACGGCTCGTCGATACGCACTGTCACTCTGGCTAGGGAACAGGCGAAGCGCATTCAGGCTACACCCACTGCTCTCTCGATTACTCCGCCTGCTACTGGTGATACGCTTCGCAGCCCCGGCATCAGCGTACATCCGAGCAATCAGGCCCCTCGATGCCTCTCCCCCGTCTTCTCAGAGTCTATCCTATCAGACTCAATCATCTCCGACGCGCCGCTCATCAGCGCATTCGATGTCGACGGTCTGGAGAGTGTCCTGTCCGAAGCACTCTCGGCGGATGCGCGGTGGGCCAGCTCGGTTCTCAAGAACGCTGGACTATGGCTCAGTAATGTTGCCACACAGAACCCCGTGGAAGACTTCGAGGAGCAGTCAGAGCCGCTGCTGAGGGTCGACGAGATGTCGTACATCGAGGAAAGGAGAGCGAGGACACGCACCAGCTCGACTCCGCCCATTCCCACCAAAGCCAGGTTGAAGCGTGAGAAGTCGATCGTCTCGACAACAAGTTCTAGTGTCGAGTACTACACTCTGGGCGCGACAGAGATGTTCAAGAGCAAGAATAGCGTGGTCAAGGGCGAGCTTGAGCTGGTACGCGTCAAAGAAAGGATGGGTAGCAAGGTTTCGTCGGCTGCTCCTCTCTCTGCGGTTCCGCCCCACGTCAAGCCGAGGCGCCGGCCCAAGTATGGGGACGAGCTCACGCCGGACGACTCTGCCTCGCAATTCAGCTCATCTACTGCGACATCAAGTCAGTCGCGTGCTAGCAGTGCCAGCGGTGTCCCATCTACGCGCACCTCAACACGGCACAGGCGTGCTGTAGGCGAACCCGTCAAGGCGGACAAGGGAGAGATAGCGTCATTCAAGGAAGCGCGAAGGCAACTGGAATACGAAGCGGCATCAGCGGCATCAACGATATCGACGGCGTCAACAGTGTCGTATCGCACTGCTCACAGCAGCGCGTCGTCTCGGTCCCGCTCTCTTAGCGTTGCCTCGTCAAGGACCATCACCACGTCTACCGGCAGCGTCCGCACCCCACACGCCAAGGAGTTCCCTGCGGTACCTGTTGGTGACGCTCAGCACGTCTACAAGACGACCATGGAACATCTGCAACAAGTGGCTATCTTGAACAACATCGACTTGGACGTTGAGTCGGTGTACAGGCAGCGCTTCCAAGTCGCGCTCAATGTCCACCTGCAGCAAGCCTCAACGCAGGCTCTTGCGGAAACTTTCAACGCTGTGGGCGATGCTCTCGGAGCCGTGACCGTCCCACGCCGCCACGCGCAAGGCGCCGGAAAGGTGTATTGATGAAGTGCTCTGTTGGTGCTCTGGTATCCTTCCACTTCTGTCTACCTGTCCCTGTGTCTGCGAGACCGGTTGTAGCCAATATGCTTGGACACTTATTATGACCCATATGCCCTATGTCATTGTACTTCATACCTATGAATACACCTTTCGCTCTTTTAGACATATATCGCGAGTTAACTGCCTATACGTGCGTTAAGACCTTATCGTGAACATTGTGGGAATATAGCACGAGGCGCGTCTTTGCGGCTTACATCCCGCCGCCATCGTGTTTCCTGAGGTTGTCCCTCAACCAACTGCTGTGATACCATATCATGACTAGCCCATCGTCCCGGAGTGAACCCTCATCTGTATCGCGCTTCGCCCAAACCCCACCACTACAAGTCGGCCGCCTACCGTCGCCAGCATTCATTGTCATATCCCTCGCCGGTCCAGCCCAATACAACGAGGCCAGGGCGCAGTGGCTCACTCAAATGAAAAACAATGAAGGGGTAGGCCGGAGGTCGGAGGTCGATCAACTTGCATACGGGTGGTTCTGTCGATAGACTGCGCTTGCAACCGCTATCGTTGTCGGTTTCAAGACGGAGGGCTTGTGGGCATCCTCTGTTCGATGTTTGCTTGTCACCAGCCGCTCGCATCTAGAGACTCGCAGCGCGCTAGGATTACAACGAAGAGCGTCGCATGCTATCAGGGATTCAGGAAACAGCACGCGTCACCAAGGCCCAAGTGTCCGCTCAGCAGAGGACCCAGCACTCTTCGCCTCCATGTGCCGCATTTCAACACCTTTGGATCCAAAGGTGTCGCACGCGCCTCGTTGCCTCTCGACGTAGCTGAGGCATATTCTCGCCAGTTGTCCGGTGGAGGTTGTCCCTCGTGCGTGGTTGGCGGCAGATGCGGTTTGGGTTCTATTCCTGATCTAACCGCCTGGACCACCATTAAACTCGGCGCGCGCAGGCGGTCCATTGTGAATCTCCTTTGATCCGTGAATATACGACGGTCCACATCAACCACATCACCCATTGTGCCCTTTCTGAACGGTATATATAGTGTGTCCTGCTTGCAGCCTCCACATCCTCCAACTAGACGCCCATCATCCCGCCCTTACAATCCCTAAAAGCAACGCCAAGCGTGAGTCTAGAGTATTGACACGTCCGCGTTTCGCCGTCTTAACCTTTCTGCAGAATGGCGTCCTTCTTCCACCTGAAGGGCAGCAAGCCTACCTCGAATACCCGATCAACCCCCATGCGTCCTTCCGGGCTACGCAATGAAATTCGCGCGGATTCCTCCACCGCGTCGCGGAACGACACCACACCGACGAAAGCGGCCAAGCTCAAGAAGCCGGCGCCACCCGTCAAGGGCACGTTCAAACCCGCTCCGAAGCCTCTCTCCGGTAACGACCGCAGCCCCCTCTGGCTTGAGCGGCCCGTCACGGTGAAGGCCAATGGCGTTGCGATCGTGCCGCCTTCGAAGACGCGTCCTTCCACCGCTCCTACGGCGGCCTCATCGCCATCTTCGTCGCCCTCTCGCGCTGCTCCGGTTTCCAACCCTCCTGAGCCGCGCTCGGCGAAGCATCCTTCATCCCGCCCTCGGATGCCGGATGTCCTCCCCCGGTCTGGATCTGCTCGGGGCCATGACAACTCCAAGAGCGACTCGGCCGCTGTTCTCCTTCAGTCTCGTCCACACGTTAAGACTCTGCGCGAAGTGGGGACGCTTGATGCGCCCAAGGCAGACGGTCGCATGGACCCGGGTAGGGCCAAACGATATGTTCCGGACACCGCGTCGACTGTTGGAAGTGGTTACGGCACGGGTGGACAATGGGTGTCAACAGTCGACAGGTTCGAGCGGCTCGGGGTCGCCATGTCGGAGCACGGTTGCGACTCGGGCTCTGACATCCTCGCGGAACATAGCTTCCTCAAGCTCGAGTCCGAGTTCAGTGATGCAGGGACACTCATTACTCGCGCGAGCTCGGGGGTGCTTCCCGCAGGAGAATTGACCCCTCGGCCGAAGCCTAACGGCAAGACTGCAGTACGCATCCATGCTGTCTCCACGAGCTTACCGGCATACTCACACACTGATAGGCGGCGACCTCTGGATCCTCCAAGGCTTCAGCAGACTCTCCCTCCAAAACCAACAAACCATCGGCTACTCCCCCGACAAAGGCTCCATCTTCTTCCGAACACCGTCCGCGACCGTCCAAGATCCCGGCGAACCTGACGCCCGACGACTCTATTTCGAACTTCGGCGACGCACCTCTCCGTACTACGCGACCGACCCGCCCGCCCGCTCGTAGTGCCAAGTCGTCCAACGACGCAAATGAGAGGGTCGCTTGCCGCACATACATGTCGGTGGATGGCTCGCTTCGTGAACCTCAAGGCGCGCACACTGGTGCGACCTCGCAAGCCGACTCAGTACCATCCATCCTTCGCACCTCAGCGTCCGAGGCAAACCTCCGCACCACGCACGAACATGTGTCGAGCAAGACCGCAACACCTCCCTCGAAGTCGCTTGGACGTTCTTCCCGTCGTGTTGCCAGTGCGGCCTCATCAGCTATCGACTCCGTTGCCTCAAGCTCAATATCAGGCCTCACCCCGCTCGCCTCGGCGTTCCCCAGCCCTCCCAAAACCGGTGAGGCAGCGATCGTGAGACTCATGCTGGACACCTTTCGCAAGTGGCTCCCTCACCTAGGTATGGGGAATCTCGACGTGAACATGCTCTTCAAGAAGAAGTGTCAGCAGGAGATCGCAAAGGGCGCATCGGAGCAAGACGCGATTCAGAGCGCCCTAGAGTCTATCGTCAGCATCGTCGACGCGGGGGTACGCGGGTTAGACGAGGCGAAAGGCCTCAGCACGGTACCTCCAAGTCCTCGTTCAGCATCTTTCCACCCGAAGACCGCCAACAAGGCGCGCGACTTGCGCAAGTAGGCAATGTCCCCGGCACATTTCCATCACTGTATTCGACCTTGAACCAGTATTGATTATTCTTATCTATCCGTGTTGTACCGTTCATCATCCAATGTCTGTAGGCATATCCACTCCTTCACGTTGTTGTATTTGTAGTCTGTGTATCCGTTTGCGTTATGCTCTTGTAACCCTAATCAATACATTCCTTTTTGCCACGCGAGTTGCCACCTGTGAGAATCCGCTGCGACGATTACTCGCGATCACCTGAGTTGACAGTTGAGAGCATGCACAATCGATACAGCGCCCAGTCGCTCTCGCCTGACGTCCTCTGCTTTCTACCGTCAGCAACACCATACCATCCATCCTATGCACGACTCGTCCTTTAGCGCCGAGTTCATCTCCGCGCCCCAAATGGCCCTCCTTCCCGCAGCAGAGATACGCGCGGGTAATGCAGCAATCAAGTCGACTTCGAACTATCTCCCACGCCCCAGCTTCCATGTACCACAGTTCACCGCCCGCCCTCCACGCTTTCGACGTCTTCGCGGCGTACATGAACACGAGGACGAGCCCGCCAGTCTGCCGTCGCTATCCCATTCTATGTCAACCATCTCCTCCGATGCAGAAAGCGCAACGGACTTCATCCTGGACGAGCTTCTCCCTGGTTCGCCAATCTGCCAATCACCTATGCTTCTGTCGTCGCCCGTAACCTCTCCCGCCGGTCCCAATACTTCGGAATTAGACGGGTGTGGCTCGCCAGATATCGCCTCAGACTGCGGCGACAGCGACAGCGCGGCTGCTTCCCTCCAGGGGACTTCTACCGGGAGCGACTTGATCCTAGGCTGGAAACCCTCCGTGCAGCCGGGGTCGCTTGTAATTGGCGAGAGCGTCGGCGAACTGTCCAAAGACAAACCTGGTCTACTGAGTGGGTGGAAGCCATCTGTCGCGGACCAGACTGTCGAGTTGCTCTCCGAGGGTGACCTACCGCCGATGTCGATTGAATGCTCGCTTCCGGTCTTGGACGCCGACGCCGCCATGGAATGGTTTGATCAGATAGAGCTGTGTATGGGCGCCGAAGAATCCTGGTCTGATCTTGACGCGAGCACTGAAGACATGGATATATACTCCTCCCTTGCCATGCCCGCTCCGACCAGCTCCCTGCGCTTCAACTTGGACCTGCCACAGCCGGATGAGAGCGCCGTGCCCGCCCAGATTCCCTCCACGAGCTCCCTGGACTCCGGCGTCCACGACCTGCTAGGCACGCTGCCTCAAGAGAACGCTGAGCTAGCCTCTGGGATTGCGAAGCTCATGTCGCGTATGATCGCCCTCAACCAACAGAACGCCGAACTGCAACGACAACTCGCGAGCCAGCAGGAGCAGCTCTTCGCCGAGCGAGAAAGCCATTGGGACGAACTTGCGCGGGCGCGCGAAGAGGCAGAGACTCGACGCCTGGATGCGCTCGTTGATAGCACGACGGTCGGATCTGTGCATTCTCCGGTTATTCCATTGCAAGGTGGCGAAATCGGAGATCCGCGTTGGAACATGACCCTCGAAGATCTTGGCGGCTTTGCGAAGGATGTGCGGCAAGCGTTTGCTGCGAGTCTCGCTGAGCGAGCGAAGGACTCGAATGAAAAGGATATCGCTAGTAAGTCGTGTGCTTCAGCGTTGAGGCGATCCGGGGCTGATGAAAGGCGTAGCGGTGCTTCAGGACGTTCTGGCGGGCTTTGAGTAACCGATTGATCGAATCTGCATTGATCAGATACCCGCCGAAAGGCATACCCTCTCCCACAAACAAGTTACCTCCACACCTTAACCCTTTGTTTGCGCCTGCGAAGCATATTATGACTTTGATAGAGTTCTTTCCCTCCAGATGAAGTATGCAATCACGATCTGAACCATATGATACACACAATCGACGTGAATCTACTGGTCCTTCTTCCAGTCTTCGAGAATGCAGACGCGCTTCTGGGACATCTCTCCGCCTGGCCCGAGATGGTCGGCCAGGAAGGCACCGACGGAGGCGTATGACAGTTTCTGTGTCGTCCAGTTGTAGATGACATTGAAGAACGGTCCTATGAGTCGTGTCAGATAAAGCGGCCGATATGCAATGGCTCAATACGTACCGATGAAAGGTAGTTTTCCGGCCAGACCCGGTGCAGTCCATGCCGGCACGACGTCAACGGCGTGGATGATCGGCCCCGCAGGCTATCAAAGGGTCAGAACGTGATGATACGGAGACCGAACAAGACCAACCTTTGCATCGTCTACCTTGCCTGGACACAATAGACTCCAATCCAGTTCTTGCGCCTGCTCACGCATATACTTGAAGTTTGAGTAGTGTTCCGGATGGATAGGTACAGCATCGCCTTCAATCCAGCCCGGATAATGCGGAAGGTCCATAAGCACTTGTCCTGAGAGTACCCAAAGGCGTAGACGGTGACCTGAAGAAGCACGCTCCTTGGCAGCTTCGACTACAGTGCGAACGACCACTTCGGAATCAGAGGTGCCCCAGGGCGTATTTGAACCGTACACAGCTGCTTGTACAACAGCGTCTTGGCCTGTATATGAAATAAATAAACCTGTCCAAGCTACGTGTAATGGATGTCGGCGTACCCTCCATAGCCTTCACGAGCGCCTCCTTATCCTTCGCATCGCCTTGTACCACCCGTGCCTTCTCACGCAAGGACTGCTCGAGCTTCCCAGGAGTGCGTACATACGCCGTCACCGTATGTCTACGCTCGATGCATGCTTTGACGACTGCGCTTCCGATTCTGCCTGTATCGCTGCTTGGTGAGGACTCCAGTACACATATCTTAGATAGTAGGGACACGCACCTGATGCACCAACTACGAGAACTTTGACCATGCCGTAGAACTTTGTTGGTACAAGACAAAGTTGTGATAGAGATGACGTTTGTTCTCGTCCTATCATTCCGCTTTCTATAGGCTCGACGTCGGGGCCACGCCCGAAACCCCGTGCCTATAGCGACTCCAAGGGCTTGCGTGGCGCGAAGGCATCCAGACTAGGACGCTCACATCGTCACGGCACAGGACGCTCATACTGGTACATGACCAAGGATGAGACATTGACAAAGCATTGGGTGACATGAATGACAAGATATATGGGCTGGGAGTGATGGTGGTCGGGGTTAAGAATTATTGACGGATTTTACGGACATTCTCGGAGCTCGTTCCGGCCTTTGCTCCCTTGATCCTGCCCGCCATGTTGTGGCGTACGTTGACAATGATAACAGCGCTTCTATTGCATTCTCTTCCAATCCTCCAGGATGCAAACTCGCTTGTGATGTAATTCTTCTTCTGCGCCAACATGCTCAGCCAGGAAGACGCCGACGGATTTATATGTTAATTTCTGCTGGGCGACGTTGTAGATGGCGTTCAGGGTCGGACCTACACGACGTCACTTCGGCTTGGTCGATAGAGTACGGCGAATTCAAACGCACCGATGAAGGGCAGCTTTCCTAGGATACCTGGAGCGATCCAGAGCGGTATAACGTCGACGGCGTGTACTATGGGCCCGGCGGGCTACAGCACGACGCTCAGTGTCAGTTGCAGGAGAGCAACTGGCTATTAACAAAAAGCGTACCTCGCCTTCGTCTATTTTAGCCGGGCACATCAAGCTCCAGTCCAGCTCCTGCGCCTCCTCGCGGAGAAGCTTGTAGTTAGGATAATGCTCAGGATGCACCGGGATGGCATCGCCTTCAATCCAGCCCGGATGGTACGGGAGGTCCATGAGGACCTACACGGTTAGTCAGGCTGTGGGCATCGCGAGTGCTCAGGGGACGCTCACCTGTCCGGATAGCACCCAAAGACGCGGCGACTTGCCCGACGCTGCGGTAACCTCCTTCGCAGCCTCGACCACAGCACGCACGACGTCCTCGGAATCAGACTTGCCCCACGGTGTGTTCGAGCCGTACACCGCCGCCTGTATCACCGTGTCTTGACCTATCAACACAGGATAAGCGATTCGGTTACGGTGAGAGGGGCTGTACGACGCACCCCCCATCGCCGACTTTAGGATCTCTTTTTCCTTCGCGTTCCCCTGCACTACCCGGACCTTCTCGCGGATAGAAGGGTCAAGCTTAGACGGCGAACGCACGTAGGCCGTCACTTCGTGTCCACGCTCGAGGCAGGCTTGCGCGGTAACGCTTCCAATCCGTCCTGCGGCACCGATGATGAGGACGTTGACCATGATGTCTGGCGAAACGACGCAAAAGAGAACGAGGCAATAAGTGAGGAATAATGCATGTTCATTGTCTCCCTATATACTGACACCCTATCCTAGTATCGGGAGGCGGGATCGTCGGCGTCCCTGGGCTGACTGAGACGGATGCGGGATTGAGACTTTCGTTGGCGACAGCGAGATAGTATGAGATGCCGACGAGGGGCCATGTACGCGCGTCGACGCGGCTTGTCAGGCGGATGCTCCTGTATACATCTTCCGGCTTATGAACCCATCCTCTCCCGCTTCTAGCGCGAGTGTGTAACATGTGTCGAGGGAAGGCATGCCATTATTGATAGTATATATGCGAGTTCGAGCTCGCGATAGAATGTCTTGCAAAACATACATAGGTTTGTGGATCGGCAATTCAAGACACTGATGTTTCGAAGTCTATCATGGAGAAGGACCCGATCTTTCTCCTCACGAAGGGCGCATACGCGTCTTCGAATGTTCTTGTGCAACTTTCTTCTTGGCATTTCGCCCTGCTTACGCATCCCGCGCGAAAATAGTTTGACGTCCCGCATGCCGAAAGACAAAACATGGCTCAATAACATCACAGTCCGACTACTGGACTCCAGAGTACATGTTCAACCCATGGTGTAGTCATCCTCATGCCCCTCTCCGTCCCACCTTATCTCACATGCCCACGCGCGTTCCAGAATACTGAGCAGCGCATCCTGCTCGACCGCGCTCAACCTCGCCGTATTTCGACCAGTTTTGTCTTTGACATTCAGCGATAGATGTCTAAGTGCAAGATCCGAAAGCACTGTTCCCAGCCGCTCGCGTAGAAAGCCATCGTTTAAGTGGCCAGGCGGCGGTTCGAGGAAGAGCGACAAAGCCGTGCACAGCGTATGAAGGGCTTCTTTGCGAGCAAGACGCGCTACTCGCGCGGCGGGACTGCGCACATCGTCGCCCAACGCGCGGTCCAGTAAGCTGAGCAGCTCCCGTGAAGCACACAACGCTGCGCAATCTTTCATGGCATGTATGCGCTCCAGAACCACCTGTGCTCGTCTCGTTCCTCCCTTGCTGGTGGCCTCGGCATTGGCGAGGGCGTGAAGAAGGGCATTGAGCGTTGGTAGCAGTGCCGCAGGATGTAATGGCGCAGCAGGTAGGCGAGATACCTCGGTCTTGGACTTCAGCAAGCGTTCTGTGCGCATGCGGGATAGATTTCGCATGGAGCTGAGGATTGGACCGATGATGTGCGTTTGTACGGGTTGCAAGAGAGCGTCTACTGCATCCGCTACGGAATACATCGGTTGATGTCGAAGTATCGCCGTAGGAGCAGAATACGAGGAAATATCCTCAGCACGAGGTGATCCGTCGGACTTGTGCGCATGAATGATCGACGATAATGCAGATGAGAGCAGTTGTGGTAGAATTACGCCGATAAGGCTCAGGGTCTCAGAGCTCTGCGACCTAGATGGGTGATTGGGAGATGTAAACGAGAGGAGATTCGTAAGCTTCTCATAGAGGCTTTCGACCATACGGGTAAATGTATCGATGAACACTTGTATTGGTGGGCGAGAGACGTCGCTTTGGGCAAGGGCGAGCATCGCGCGAAGAGCAGGCGTCCATGACACGGATGATAGACTGGGTACCATCGGAGCTACGTTTGGATGGCTATTCGCCTTCGTCTTCTTAGAAGGCTTGCTCGATGTTTCTTGCGTCTCCGATGATGATACAGCGAGTCGCAAGGCGATCAGTTCTAGGGGAAGTCAGTACGGTTGAGCATATGGGTCGCGACTACGGACGGATTCACCTGTGCGCTCAGAGTCGGCGAGCGTTTGTACATCCCCGAGTCTCGACTCCATCTCAAGTGCACGTGTACGCCACGCATTAGCGACGGATACGGTATCAGAGCTGGGTTCGACTGCGGGAAATACGCGTTGCAGATCGAAGATGAATGCTTCGGTGGGAATCAGTATAACGTGGATATATGCGCATAAAACAAGCATGCCTGAGTATGATAAGGCTTTCGGCTTCCTAGTAATTACCGTTAAAGCCTTCACGGACGGTGAGAACGGGAGTACAACATCGACAGCAGCGAGGACCAACCACCGCCAATCGGAGTCTATCTAAATCGCTACAAGGCGACAGTATGGCGTCACTGCCCGCCAAGACAGAGCGACACAGCTCGATAGAAGTGCTCATGATTTCCAGATCCGACTCTAACGCGTGTTAGGGTCACTGGAGCACCGCGAGATCGTGGTCAAGGTCGAGAACGCGACGCGACGCGTCGCGTCGCGCGGACGACGCGTTGCACGCGCCACAGGGAAATCACAAGCCATGACGCGTACGTTGGACCCACTTCGATACATTTCGAACCTGTACCCCCACCAACCTCCTGCTTTCTATTGCTTTGTACGACTCTTATGACTAGATGATGGCATTGCTCGATAAATATAGCCGCGTCGCGCTTGATGTTGCCTCGGCCGGCTCATCACTCGGCTTTGCCGCGGCGAAAGCGGGTACCTCGCTTGGTGTGCGTGTTGCATCTCGCGGATTCATTATTATCATACTCAAAGACGCGTTATAGTTTGGCATAGCTCGTGGAATAACTTCTACGGCTGCCCGCGCCACTGGGGCCGCGCTTGACCTACCTTTCGGTGGACGGTTGGGTACTGGAGACGCGTTCAGCAACACAATATCAGCCGCCCTCAATTACATGGAATCTCTCGCTCTTCTTCCCATCACCGTCGGAGAATCTATCACATCAGCCTCTATTGTTGCTGCTTATGGCGCAGTCAACACATTATCGACTCTATTCCCGGGAACAGACGAAGCGAGCTTCAGTCTGGCGAGTTTCGTGAGCTTGGTGCGGAGAGAGTGGGAGAACCCAGCCAGCGGGGAGCATGGTCCAGAGGAGAGGTTTGGGGTGGGAGAGGTGGCGCAGGCACTGGTAGCCTGGGGTGCTCTTCAGCACGCGACCTCAGATTGGCAGCTCACGCGATGGCGACCTTACTTGCGGGAGATACCCTTTCATGACTCTCCAGCGTCTTCGCATCTTTCCTCCGTCATGGCCAGTCTCGACGACGTACCTCATACGAGGCAACGTACTGAGAGCAAGATCAGTATCACGGGAGATGTTCGTCTTGCGGGTCGGCAGGGTCAACTGGTCACGGCCGATATCACCGAGCTCGACGAGAAGGGCAGGCCAGTTGCGGATCCCTCGGACCCGACCATCAGGGAGAACAGGCGACCAGAGAGGCGGCCTTTGCGGCAGAGCACGAAAGCGCTGAAGTACACCTTGCGCCGCCTGTCCAAGATGGTTCTTGCCGGTTATGGCGGCGCCAGCCTGCTCTTCTTCGGTGTCGACTTCGGGCCTGGCGCGACTTCCACGACTACGGGTTCTAGCGCAGCGCCGCAGGATGCGGAGATTGCGAAGGAGGGCGAGACGCTACAAGCCGCTGTTGATGAGAGTGAGAAAGTTGCGCCTGATGGGGAAGGTGCGACTACTGCGCAAGCGCCCAAGCCTCCGGGCTACAGCTGGTGGGACGTGCTCATGGGGAGGCACGACCGCGAGATCTTCCTGCAAAGCGTGCGCTCGCATGCACACTCGCCATCGTCTCAACTTGAGCGGGCATCCTCTCCGACAGCGCATCAGCCGCACATGGAGACTAATAGCACGGGAGGCGGAGACGACATCAGTGCCGTCGTTGGTCTCGAAGAGCGTATGCCCCGGTACTGGGTGCTCACCGATCACACCCGTCGACAGATCGTACTCGTCTTCCGAGGGACCATGAGCTTGAACGAGCTGGCTGTGGACTTGACATGCGACCCGGCTGAGTTCGAACCGGCCAGTAGCGATGAGCTAGGCTCCACGTTTCCCCAGCCAGAACCTTCAACATTCACCCAGTCTCCCCCGCCCGCAACGCGTCATGCACACTTCGAGACGGCCGAAAGCGAGGCTAAGAACAGCCCGTCTATCGATGGTTTACCTACTGAAGTACAAGCCCGCGACTTTGAGTACGAGTTCGGCGCGCCAAGCGATAATGAGATGTCGATGCCCGGCGGACTTCCTTCTCCCTCAATCCCCACCGCATCGCGTCACCGTACCAAGAGCACGCGTAGCTCTCGCAAGCCCCCGGCGCGCGCCAGTACAGTTCCCTTCCCTGATAAGCCTGATCGTCCCGACGGGGATGGGAAACAGCCGGGACGGATGCGGAGCGCGTCTTTCGCCTCGGTCGGCAGCTTCCATGAGAGCTATGAGGTTCATGGTGGGATGCTCACCATGGCGCGTATCATGGGGGCGAAGGGCGCTCCAGTGCATGAAGCAGTCCGTGCCGCAATGAAAGCTTGTAAGGGTTATGGTGCGTTCTTATCTCCCATGCGTAGTTGCCCCCAGAACTTGTGCTGAACGTGTTGCTACAGAGCTCGTAATGTGTGGCCACAGCCTTGGTTCGGGCGTTGCCGCTCTACTCGGTATGGTACGTACTGATTGCTACCTTGGTGGCTTCAATCTGGAATGAACCAAATGACTAAATGTCTATTCCATAGATGTGGGCAGATCCGAAGACGTGTCTCACCGTGCGTAGTAGCGGTCTGCCGGTGGGTAGACGGGTCTCCGTATATTGCTTCGGTCCACCGTGCGTGTGCTCTGTGATGAACTTCGCCGCCTTCTGAACGTTATGTCCTACAGATGCCTGACAGATGCGCGTTTGAGCAAGCTCGCGGAGAACATGGTCACTTCTTTCGTCTACAGCCATGATGTTGTCAGCCGATTGTCGCTCGGCTCCATACGAGATATGAATCGTGCGGCTGCGTGGTTATGTCAGGCGCAGGTGAGCATCTTTCCGTGATATCGACTTTATCGCCTTCTGTGTCTTCGATCCCGCATGAGCGTCCGATGGACTGACTGAGATTCCAGGCGGAAGGAACCCCTGAGGGATACGCGTCGATCACGAAGCGCGCTCTCAAGCATGCCGCAGGCTTCGGCACCCGCTCGGACCCGACATTCTTCCTCTCAGTACGCAAGACGCTCGAGGCCAACATGCGAATGGCGCACCTGTACCCACCCGGGCGTGTGCTCTGGGCGGTGCGCGCGGCAGACTTCGAGGCCCCTTTCGCTGACAGTCATAAATCGCCCGAGGATAAGTACCGCGTTCCACATGAGAAGGAGAAGGATGCAGAGCGGAGAAGGGCCCGAACAGGAGAAGCGGGCGGAGAGGAGTTGAAGCTTTTTGAGGTGCTGGATGTTGAGGCTGTCTTCGGCCAGATTGTGTTTGCGAGGGATATGTTGAGCGCTCATCTGCCTCACCAGTATGATCGTGTGCTTGAAGCGCTTCTCTAGGGTTTCGAACTTTCTACCTGGTGGAACGATTTGGAAGAGGCTGGTCTATTACCTCTCGCGATCCTTCGCCAGTTCGCTGTTCTTAGATTACTTACACTGTATGCTATCGGACTTGTGACGCTGATATCTTGCTTTGCTTACTGTAGCATGCGCTTTTACCTTGTATCTATACGTGTATACTTTAGTACTCCTCGCGTTAACACACTCGCTGTCGTGTCCAAGCAATGACCGAGCTAATGGATCGTGAGTGCGGGTACCGGAAAGTCCCGAGGATATCCCCGCCGTCGAGCGGCCGCGTGTTCGCATGTTTTCTCTCCACCATCCACATGGCGCTCCAATACCGGCCTAGCTTTACCGCATCCAGACGCCGTTGCTATGCCTAGTATTCGTAGGCGAAGCATCTGCTGCTAATATGACCCTTCTCACCAAAGTCTGAGTCCGATGTAATCCACTTACGGCTGTGCGAGCGTAGCCCACCAGCCGGATGATTTGCCTATCGCTCCGAAGCCTTCTGCCGTACTCTAAAGTTGTCACCAGGGTATTCCACTTGAGAAATGGTCAGGCCGCGAGCGCCTCGTTCATGGGCTCGAACCTCGCCTGCTTCAACTCGGCCTCCGATAGGCTCCTCCTGCCTGTCTGCCGTCCACGGCGAAGCTGAGACGGTACATCTCTAACCCCACAATGCCACCTTGTGGGATACATGTTCTATACCAGCCAAGGGCCATCGTCACTACACATGTAGCTGCCTACGAATCCCTGCTACCATCTTGCGGCCATCGGCGGTGCCGCTGCAAGGCTTCTCAGACAACCACCCCCGCCCGCAGTGCCTGGCTCCATTTCCCGAAGCTACTCGACCCAATCTGGCACCTTGAATCCAGATCTCGTGTCCCAAAGCGGCACTCCGTGAATTCGTAGCCTCCAGGGCAGAGCCTTCCATATATGGACGTCAGGTCCGCGGAGAACAAACGAAGCATGCTCGTGTGAGCGACACGTACATCGTCCGATGGATTTAAAACCTTAGTCTCTCGACACATCCGACGATTGCACGACTTGGAGTCCTTCGCGCCCCACGTCCCAACTTTGCACCGCACTTTTTGTCTCATTTCTATTGTTCGCTCAAAGCGTGAGCAACGTGGGGCGGCGGAGCTTAGGTTCGTAACGGGCGCCACACGTGCTGTACAGAGTATATAAGGTATGCGTTTCACCTGTCAAGGCTCTTCTCTTGCCCCGAGTACCGACGCTACAGCTTGCAGCTTGTCCGATTCCAGTTCGCTGCATTCTTCGGGCAGCCGCTCAGCCTCACGCATCCGACGGATTCGCCTAAGGCTGTATCGCGCGATACTTTAACAGCCTTGCGCTTGCCTTTGCCGGCACTTCGCACTCAGCGCTACCACGCCATCTACTCACCACGATGTCTCAGACATACGCTGCACACTATCCCGCAACGTCCAGCCATCGTGCGCCGTCATACTCCGCTACACAGGCATCCTCGACGGCACCGCGTCGGATGTCCGCGATGTATTTGGCTGACGATGACTTCCACGAAGTCATGCGAGCCCTGCGAGCTGGCAGTCTGCGACCCGACGTCATCCTCCGTCCCGGGCAGAGTTTGTACGCGCTAGGTGTGCGCTACAAATGACACCCTTCGAACGCCCGATACCATCCATTCGCTCAATTTTCAGCTGGTGGACAGCCTTCTACTTCTCAGTCACGCATACCTGTACGACGACCACTACGCTTCCATCCGATTTGAAGCGATGACAGTCAATACACGATACGGCCCACCGAGTGCGCCGCTCGCTATGCATCTCCACTCGTTTGTATGTGTCCTCCCTGTACGATCCATGTTCACCTCTTCTGTATACGAGGATCCTGATGAAGTCTGCACTGTAGATCCTTGTATCTGTATAGTATCTCTCCTATGATGACACACCATGGTCAACCTACCTTGTAGTTCGTAGACTTGTATCATCTCTATGCTACCACACCTGTACTATCGCCGGTTGTATTATGATGACTCGATAGATTCGTATGGACGTTTTCTGTTGCTCATCTCCACTGGACTGTCTGCTAGTACTTAGTCCACCCGTTAGCATATTCTCGTTCTTGTCAGCGTGCTGCGGCCTGCCTGCCTCGGATCCCTTTCCTCGGGCGCCGACAGGCGCCGGCACCGGGACAAAAGCATCCGGTTCGTGTGAAAGTTACATGTTAAAATCAATTGGGGCTTTTCCTCCTCAGCTACTTACTTCTCGTCCGCGCATTGACATCGCGCATACCACGCAAAGCCGCACGTGCATGTGCATGAGTACCCATTGCTATATCGTTTTGAGCTCTGACCATATATACGAAACTTTCTCTTGTGAACTCCAGGCGAACGTCTTCGAGGTCGCAGGACTCAAACATATTTTTGTCTCCGCAAAATTGCTGCGCGTGGCGATGCACCGCCTGTTGTCCAAGGCCGTCCAACATTTGTTTCTTCACAGGACTTGGCCTGCTGCTGCTGATGTCGGTCTGAGTGCGACGGTGCACGTCGCGGACATGCGACAGCGCCCAACAGTAGCCATCAAGTGATCCGCCTTTTGCCCGTCTTGGTCGACGTAGCCATCATCACAACCCTGCAAATGCATGGTCCGACCTGGTCCGCCATCATAGGCCATCATCGCATCTTCACCGACTGGGGCTATGCAAGCGCTTGTCTCTGGTCTGATTGGCTCAGATATTGGCTTGGCTCTCTTGTGATCTGTCCAGAGGCTGCGTCGTTGTCGACCATCGGATGTCTATCCTATGATGGCCCTCATGAGGTGCCCTTCGCCTCGGTATATAACTTCCTTAGGGTTCAATCTACGTCTTCATCTTCTTCGGTTCCCTCTGAGTTTCCGGTTTCTGTGTCTTTCTCTTCTTCTCTATTATTCTTTTCTTCTCACTTTTTTCTATTCTTTCGCGTTTTACCCTCTTTCACGACACAATGTTCACCATCGCCGCTTTCACGACTCTTCTCGCTCTTGCCGGCTCTGCTCTTGCTCAGGAGGGTGGTTCGGCTGCATCCGTCGCCCAGCTAGTCTCTCAGCTCCGTCAGGCGCCCACCGAGGTCGACCGCCTCAATCTCGTCTCCGATGAGCAGTTCATCTTCGACTTCGTGAACCCCAATGGCACGGTTGGTGTCACGAACGGTGCTGGTGGCCACACCGTCGCCGCGACCTCGGCCAACTTCCCCGCTGTCGTCGGTAATGGTGTCTCAATGAGTACGTGCTTGTCTCATTCATCAGTACCTCCAGATACTGACATGAACCCCCAGCTATCGGCTTCCTCGGCCCTTGCGGCATGAACTCGCCTCACACTCACCCCCGCGCGACCGAGATCAACTTCTCGATCAACACAACCCTCCGCGGTGGTGTCTTGATCGAGAATGGTGCACGCTTCGCCGAGATTGACATCCGCCCCGGTACTGCGACGATCTTCCCGCAGGGTGCCATCCACTTCGAGATGAACCCCAGCTGTGAGGATGCCATGTTTGTTGCCAGTACGTCCCTGTGTTTTACGCTGTCATGCACAACAAATATCTAACAAGTCACTCAGGCTTCAACGGCGAGGACCCCGGTGTCCAGCAGGTTGCTCAGCGCTTCTTCGGTCTTCCCCCGGACATCGTTGGCGCTGCTCTTGGTGGTCTCGGTGTTCAAGATGTTGCAGACCTCGAGGCGTACATCCCCGACAACGTCATTCTCGGCGTTGACGAGTGCCTCCAGCGTTGTGGCATTGAGCGCACCCCGCAGACGGGTTCTCAGCGCCAGCCCCGTGTGTCCGCCAACGCGTTCCCCGAGTCTATCGAGGCCGAGAATGTGTACAACCTGGCTGGCATTGCTACGTCTGCGGCCCCGGCTGCCAGTTCGACCGCTTCCTCCGGCTCTGAGGAGAAGCGTTCAGTGGTAGTCGAGGAGCGCCACTACCCGGAGGTCATGCAGATCTCTCTTCGGTGATTGCGAGCTTGAATATGGGACGATGGTTTTGAGGGATGACGCTTTATCTTGTCTGCTTGCATGGAACGACGCGTACGAGGATACTGGATTTTACTATACTCAGAGGAACTACTATTTTGTCTATCTTCTCCCAATTGGTGTGAACTCCGCGTGAAGACTTGTTCCTCATTCAGTTCAGCGATCCGGCAGCTGAGCCGGATCCGGGACTCAGTTGACTGGACTGGCGGCCGAGTGTTCTTGCATTACAGTACCTGCCCTGTCGACGTGTTCCACGCAATGTAGAACCCGGGCGCTACCGAGGCTAGTGCAGCTGGTCCCGCAAGGTGTCTCACGACGCACATGTGCATCAACGCGCGCCGCGCGGCGTCAACTACCTGCTGCCAACCACCATCATGTTTCCCAACGTCGAGCCGCCGACAATAGCTCTCCGCTTCACCTAATTCATGTTGTACACGACTGCGGTCTTGTGGGCTCTCAGAGATACCTCAGAACTCTTGGTCCCAAACCTGCGCTCGCAATGAAGACGGGCTTCGAGTTCGATCGGAGTCTCACCAGCCTTTTACTCGCAAGTCTGCGCCTCGGCGAGACTCGTAAATGCACTTAAGCGTGACGATGTCTTACTCAGAGAATGCGACATGCCCCTCCAAGTCCCCTCGACGAGTGAGGCATATGGCCATCTGAGCCAGCCTCAGAATACTCCCGTCGAGATGGGGTATAAATCCCAGCCCTAGATAGATAGACCAACCTTATCACCTACGTTTGATTTTGCTTTCTCTTCTGCCTTTGTGCATCCCCTTTTCTTTTCACCTTCTACTTCTCTTCGTACCCTTTTCGCTACTATGTTCTCCTTTGTTCTTCTCAGCGTACTCTTTGCGTCGGCCGTCATCGCCGCGCCTTCATCTTCCCCTTCGTCCTTGAACTCCACCTTTGCCGATGCACAGGCGCAGAAGGTCGCCCAGCTTCGTCTTGCTCCGACTCAGGTCGACCGTATCAACGTCCTCAGCGACGAAGATCTTGTGTTCAGCTTCTCGAACCCGTCTACTCCCGTGGGCACTGTCACTGGCGCCGGCGGTCATGCAGTGTTGGGTATCTCCGGCAACTTCCCTGCTGTTGTTGGGAACAGCATCTCCATGAGTATGTATCTATTCTCAACGCTGAAAGGTCCCCATCAATTACTGACTCTCACTTTACCAGTCGTAGGACATCTCGCACCCTGTGGCATGAACACGTACGTATCCCGTATGCATAATTCAATACAGCGAGGCTGACTGACTTTACATCTATTGCAGCCCGCACACCCATCCTCGCGCCGCTGAGATTCTCTACTCCGTCAATGCCTCCCTCGTGAGCGGATTCATCATGGAGGACGGTGCTCCGTACCGCGAAGTCAACATCTCGGCCGGATCAGCAACGGTGTATCCCATGGGCGCCGTCCACTTCCAGATGAACCCCACTTGCGAGCCGGCGATGTTTGTATCCGGTGCGCTTCCTTTGCGTAGTTCTCGCAGACATCATTGTCTTACCCGAGATGCAGGTCTCAACAGCGAGGACCCTGGCGCTCAGGAGGCTGCGCAACGCTGTGGGCTTCTCTTCGTCACCTCGATGTTCGGTTACTGATCTATGTCAATAGTCTTTGGCCTTCCCCCCTCCATCGTTGGCGCAACGCTCGGCGGGCTCGACGTTCAGGACGTCGCCGAGATCGCGACTTTCATCCCGGACAGCTTCGCGGACGGTGTGAACGCGTGTCTTGCGCGTTGTGGTATCCAGCGGGGTTCTCAGCCTACCGCTCAGCAGGAGCCGCGGGTGTCTGCTAATGCTTTGCCTACCGGTGTTGCGGCTTCGGCTTCGACGGCGATCGCGACGGCCACGGGCAACGCGACTTCCGCGGCCGCGACTTCGACGGCTGCATGAGGGGTGTTCCGCCTTGATGTGTGGGAGGCATCATCTGTGCTAGATGACCACGTTCTTGAATAACTTATTGACCAACTCCATACGATTTGAATGGCATTTGCATCGTGTTTTGACCTCAAACGGTATCTGTTCAGCGCGCCTCATCCTGCATTTTGACAGGGAATTTGGTGGATGCTATACAATTGCATTCGGATATTGCTACATAAGCATCATGGGCGTGGTAGCGTGAGAGTCAGACAAAGCGTGAGCCTATATTCAGACAAGGCTCTGCAGAACGTCGCGCGCGACGCCGGCGCTCAGTGCCAGCCTGTGGGAAGACCTCCCCTTCAATCATCCTTCGCATCTCCCGTTCCTCTGCCTTTCTCCTCTCAACCTTCCTAATCTCCTCAACCTTGTCCGCAACAAGCCCATCTACAACTCTCATGACCTTCTCCGCCGCATGCCTCGACGCGCGAGAAAAGTTCAACCCGCGCTTGAGGTTCTTGTCTAGCTCTTCGGCGTAGAGAGCGTCGGCGTCTACGGGGCTTTGGAGTCTTCTGAGGATGGAGCGTTGGCGGGCCATGGCGGAGTCGAGGAGGCGGGAGGCTTTCATGTCTTTATCCCAAACCTAGCGATGTCGAGAGTCAGAGTCGGCGAGGGATTGAGAGAACGAACTTGGTCGAGATAGCACGTACAGGCATGGGTACGAGCGGAGTGCGCTTGTTCTTCGCTGCTTCTCGAAGCTCGGGAAAGATATTGAAGAGCATCTCTTGTCCGTACTCGGCGTCGGAGAATAGCATTGACATGCACACGTCCTGTCGATCAAACGACTCGATCGTCGAGCGCCACGCCTTCTCACTAGCGTCGTCTTCGAAATCGTCGTCGAGCTCGTATGCCTCGAAATCGTGTCCGCGGGACGTAGAGGGGGACTTGGGTGCAGGATGATGCAGCGAGCCGACGTGGCGCACGTGATGCGAGCTGTGGTTGTGGTTGTGCTGGGCCTGGGGCCGTTTGGCGGCGGATCTGGAGGAACGATGGCGCGCGTCCTCTTCGTCGACGAGCTCCCACTCTGAGAGGCTGGTGTAAGAAGCGGAGGGGGCACTCGGTCCACCGCGAGTATGCGCTGAGTGGGAGGAAGGTCCGGATATTTGCCCCACGACACCTCCAGCGGCGAGACTCTGCGACCTCGCATGTCTAGCCCCTGCGGGACGGAGGGGCATGGGGCGTGATATGGAGGACGTCGAAAATGTCTGCGAGACCGGTCGATCTTTCTTCGTGAGATAACGGCTCATAATGCTTTGAAAGGTCTGGGTGGTTGAAGAGTACATTCAGTATGACGGACGATCTGGGTACTGGATAGATCACTTACGCGAGGGACGGAGGGACGATGGCAGTTGAAGGGGACGGACGGTGGTTCATATAGGAATTGTGGGTGGCGGAGATCAGAAATCTTCTGTAATCCAACCACACTGAGTTTGCTGGAAGGTGAGGTCAGATGAGGGTGGGCCGTTGTGTACTGGTAGTGTTGGCAGTCTCAAGAACTGCTACTGGGTGCCGTCAGCGCACACGCCCTGTGCGGACCCGTGAGTACAAGGGTATCAATGCTATGTGAGGTTCGAGACAGATAGTGGAGCTTCAAGTCAGGACGTGTGTGGCGGAGTCCGGTGGCGAAACGGATCGAACAAACCACCGCGCTCGATTTGGGTGTGCAGCTTTCGTGATATCACCACGCGATACCGTGAAAGCACTGGTATAGGTTTCCCAGATTGAATATATGGGATCGGGCGGTGGCAAGATTGGGTGTGGGGACTGGCATATCATAAGTTGGGCGAGCATGAGCGTCGAAGGACAATGGACAGTCGCGGCGCGCGTTGTCGCGTTCTCGGAAGCGACGCGTGGAAATACATGGGGTTAGGGTTAGAGCTGGACGCGGAAACTGGTTACTGGTTTTTGCTGAGTGCTCAACGACGACTGGATGGCACAGCCATCATATAGACATTTCTACAGCTTACCCCGCTGCGTCTTCGAGAGCTCATATGCCCGCTGAGGTGCAGATAAGAGTTTTCCCGCGGCAGCGGCGGTGAAGCGACGTCGAGTAGGCAGCTGTCTGATGGAACCTCGTGTATGAACATGAGTCCCGAGTATGTGGTCATGACCATCACAGACATCCTAATACGATACTAGATGACCTTCGTCTCTCACTACCACGCATACTCTCTCTATAAGCAGGACATCAGTCCCATCCTCCCGCCTAGCCTGACAGACCCTGAAGCACAAGCGGCTATCTGAGGTACGCCTAAAGCTGATAACCTTCACTCTCTCAGCGCATCTCATGCGCCTGTTTGCTTTGTTAGGTACAAGCGTCATCATCATGTCCCAGCAGAGAGCCCACTTCTACAGTCCACTCTACTCAGACTTCGGGAGCCATAGTCGAGGAATGAAGTGTGGCTCATACGACGCATGGATCGGCACCGCGTCTACAACGGATAGGCCAACGCGAGCCCCGTGCGTAGGTCGAGTAACCCATCTCATGGCGGCAGACGACGACATGCGCGAAGTCATGCGGGATTTTCTCGATGGTAAACAGGAGCCGGACGTCGTCATTCGTGGAGGTTCAAGCATGTATGGGCTTGAAGGCCGTTCGTTCCAGGAAGTAGTCGCCTTGCCATCGTCGGCTCGTGCCGAGTTGTCTGACGAGGCCAAATCAAGTCCGGCGAGTTTGCGCTCTGGGACCACTGCTCGCGGCAACCAGGAGAACCGAAAATCATCGACATCGACGATTCGTACGCGTGGAGCCGTGAAGGGATAGTTAGGCGCTGGTGAGGTACGGAAGCGAGGTATCGGACCGATAGGTAGCGGCATCAGTGTGCTTGCCAGTCGTCTGGTACGGTCGAGTTCGATACGGACACAAGTTCATTGATTATATAGATCGCTACGGAAGCTGTGACCTATCGTCGATGAGCTACTATAGGATTTTCAGTTGCGCATGTAGGGTTGCTCAAGGCTTGAGGCCGACGTGACCGTTAGGGAAAAGAAGTGTGCACAGCCGCGGCGCGTCGACGCGGTGAGAGCGTGAACCTTGTGTACGGATATGGGTCCCGAGTACCTAGATGATCGTCGAACTTGCCTCACGCCTTGCCTTGTTCCGCCAACCATCATCCCCACCACTGTCACTCTTACCACATAACCTTTTATTCTCTTGACCCTACACCCAGCCCTACCCTCAGGCCAAAGCTCCTAGTCCGGAAGAGTGACCCGAACATACGGCGCGGCGCGTCAGCACGTGGATTGTGCATTTGGTGGTTGCCATCTCGCCCAGAGACGCGTCTTGGACTCGGACTCGAACTTTGACCTCCCATTTCTTGACTCGAGCTCGTCATGGCGGACGATGGAGGCGGGAACATCAAAGTCGTCGTCCGATGCAGGCCTCTCAACTCGCGCGGTCAGTCCCCGCTCCCTCCCTCCCCGCTCCCCACCTTCCCCTACACATACCATAAATCCAGAGTCGACTGTGACATTAGTGGAACTCGTCATGCTGAAACATATCTTAAGAAATTGCTCGCGGTGCGAAGCCGCTTATTCGCATGCAAGGCAACCAAACGATCCTCGAGCCCCCGGAAGCGGGCGCAGTGGGCGCCAACGCCCGAGGCGCAGGAAAGGGCACCATGAACTTCTCGTTCGACAAGTCTTATTGGAGTGCCGGACCGAGGGACGAGCCCGGATATTGTAGTCAACAGACGCTGTTCGATGATCTGGGGAACGACCTACTGAATCATGCGTTTGGCGGGTTTAATGCTTGTATTTTCGCCTGTGAGTGCTCGTCCTTGCACTTCTTGTGGTTTGAGGTCATGCAGTTTGCTGATGCGTGATTGTAGATGGTCAGACTGGTGCGTGATGGGATATATACTGGGATGAAAGGATGGAGTGCTGAAGTAGGAATTGGTGGCGCGCAGGTTCGGGAAAGTCATACAGGTACGTTGTCAATCCGTGCATCCTCTTCCCGTCGTTACGCATCGCAAACAATAATCCGGGAGTCGCGCCTCCAACGCGTGCGGAGCTTGTAGCCAGCCACAGGCGCTAGTCGCGACTGGTCCACCTCGGCTCACGTGCCGACTATGCGCCCATGCTCTGTGCCGGCGCTTCTAAGCATGATATGCAAGACAAGCGCGCGGTGCGCCTCGGGCGCGACTAGCGCTTGTTCGCGCTTTACGGAGAGAACGAGCGCTTACGCGAGCCACACCGCCTCCCACGCTCCATTTCCCATGTCCCCTCCCCGCGACTCATCGTCCCGTACAATTCTCAGGTGTTGATGCTGATGCTGATAACATGTTCACAGTATGATGGGCTACGGCGCTGACAAGGGCATTATCCCGCTCACTTGCAACGAGCTCTTTGTTCGGTTGGACGCCAAAGCGGCGGCGGATCCCAATTTGAGCTTTACGGTCGAGGTGTCATATATCGAGGTGCGTCTCTCTCCTTCACTTCGCAATCCTTCCCATCCGCGTCTAATCTGCGCCTATACTTATTACTGCGTAATAGATCTACAACGAAAAAGTGCGGGACCTGCTCAATCCGAAGAACAGCGGTAACCTGCGCGTTCGCGAGCATCCAAGTTTGGGTCCGTACGTGGAGGATCTGAGCAAGTTGGCGGTGAAGAGCAATGAGGAGGTTATGACGCTTATGGACGAGGGGAACAAGGCTAGGACGGTCGCGGCTACTAATATGAATGAGACGTACGTGCTCTCGCTTTGGTTTGGTCTGGGTGTATGGAGATGGATGGGATCTATGCGGGAATGCCATGCAATGTGGGCCAGAGTTGTTGTACGAACAGATTGCTGATACTCTTTTGACACACAGGTCCTCTCGCTCACACGCTGTCTTCACCCTCATCCTGACTATGAAACGCCACGATAACGACACCAACCTCGACACGGAGAAGGTCTCGCGTATCAAGTGCGTACTTTTCTCTATGCATGCGCCTTTCCCCTCTTCCACTTCCCCATTTCGCCTCACATGCAACACCAAAGTCAAGCAAATGCTGACATGCGTACAGCTTGGTCGATCTCGCAGGTTCAGAGCGTGCGAACTCGACCGGTGCGACGGGTCAGCGACTCAAAGAAGGCGCCAACATCAACAAGTCGCTCACTACGCTCGGAAAGGTGCGATCCACAGCATCCATGGGTAGGATTATCTACTGATGTATTCAATACACCCAGGTCATTTCGTCGCTCGCGCTTGCATCCAACGCGCCAACAAAGGGCAAGAAGTCCGCGGCCGATTTCACGCCCTATCGTGACTCCGTACGTGTTACTCTACTCTTCTCATTCTCAAAGCTCATGCAATCTTCGCATAGGTTCTCACATGGCTTCTGAAAGACTCGCTGGGTGGCAACTCCAAGACAGCCATGATCGCCGCCATCTCGCCTGCCGACTACGAGGAGACGCTGAGTACACTTCGATACGCTGACCAGGCGAAGAAGATCAAGAACAAGGCTGTCATCAACGAAGATCCTAACGCGAAGCTTGTGCGCGAGTTGAAGGAGGAGCTCGAGATGCTGCGCGGTACGTCTTCATCTGTTACGCAGAGGAGAAGAATGGTACTGATTGTGCTGTGTAGCCCGTGTCGGTGGAGCAGCCAGCGAAGCGACCTTCGATCCCACCGTCCCCCCGGAGAAGCAGAAAGTCACCTACCAGACCAAGACCGGCGAAATCAAAACCGTCACGAAAGCCGAACTAGTCGACCAGCTCCAATCCTCCGAAAAGCTCATGCAGTCCCTAAACGAAACATGGGAAGAAAAGCTCGAGCGCACGCAGTCCGTACAGAAGGAGCGCGAAAAGGCGTTGGAGGAGCTGGGCATCACGGTCGAGAAGAATAACGTCGGCGTGCATACGCCCAAGAAGGCGCCGCACCTGGTTAATCTGAATGAGGACCCGCTTATGAGCGAGTGTCTGATTTATCAGCTTAAGGAGGGGAGGACGACGGTGGGAGGGATGGAGACGGATAAGGTGGTGCAGATTAGGTTGAGCGGGGAGAGTATTTTGGATGAGCATTGTTGGTTCGAGAATAAGGACGGGAAGGTCACATTGCATGCTTTGCCCAACGCCAAAACCGTGCGTCTCTCTACTTTGCGTTGATGCGTTCATCGTTGGATGTGGCACTCATACGTTTGGATATAGTTCCTGAACGGCCGCCAAATCTCACCCGACGAAGCATGCAAGCTCCGCTCAGGCTACCGCGTCATTCTAGGCGACCACCACGTCTTCCGCTTCAACAACCCCGAGGAAGTCCGCAAGCAGCGTAAACGGGCCACGATGAAGTCGTCCCTGCACACCTCCATCACAGCCGAAGAGATCGAAGCGATGAAAGCCGAGGGCGCGGAACGTCCGCCCTCGCCCGCCACATCTGAGGAGGACGATAAGGACGTGGACTGGACGTACGCGAAGCGCGAGGCGGCACTTGCGAAGCTTGGATTGGATCCGGCTATCGACAGTCTCAGGGACGAAGATCTGAATAAGCTCTATGAGCGCGTCACGATGGTCAAATCCATGCGCGATCTCTCCGCTCGACCGCGACCCGAGAGCTCACTTAGTCTGAGCCAGCAAGACGACGTCTGGAGCGAGAACGGCAGTCGGACTCCGTTCGGTGGGGACGCGCTTACGGACGATACGAGCGTCGATGCTGGTGGTGCGTCCCCCGACGCACAGGCAGACGCGCAAGCGAGTCTGGAGGACAAGACGAGGGAGGTGGAGAATCGGTTACATGCTATCGCCGAGAGCAGTGCCGAGGCTGAGGATCTGAAGGAGGAGAAGGAGCAGATGGAGATGCAGCTCAAACTCGTGCAGGCGCATATGAAGCGGCTCATCGACGCGCGCGCACGAGGGGAACCGGAGAGTGCTGATGATGCGTTCGAGCCGGTGCTGTACTCTGCGAGGCAGTTGAGGTTGATCAGGAGGGTGTTGGATAAGTGGAGAGCGCATAGGGCGTTCAGTATGGCTGAGACGGTACTGAGCAACGCGGCGCTGCTTAAGGAGGCAAATGTGCTTGCGCGGGAGTTGCGGAAGGACGTCAGCTATAACTTCACGATCGCGTCGGGAGGAGCGCTCGCGGCGCCTGCGTCAAGTCTCGCTGCTATAGCTGGATTGGACGACTTTGCGGACGTCGCGGATCCGGTGCTCGCATCCGCCACTCAACCTGCCGTCGCGGTGAAAGTGCTGGACTACGCACATCGCGCAATATACGTCTGGTCCCTCGACCGTCTGCAACAACAAGTCCAGCGCATGCGCAATCTCACAGCATTCATCGATCGACCCGCATATTCCCTTCACTTTTCCGCCGACGAACCGTTCTACAATGTCCCCGCTCCGGAGTACAGCTTCGTGGGCAACGCGATGGTGGCGCTCGCCCCGCTCTCGAGGAGACTTTCGTCCACGAGTACGGTCCCGATCTTTGATCGGTATACGGCGGAGGCTATTGGGAGTTGTAGGGTCGACATCAAGTTGGTGTCTGTTGTTGCGCCCACTCCGAAGGGCGTGGGGATGGGCGCGCCAGGGACTTCGGCGGCGGGATCGGGGGCCTCGACGCGCGCGGGGACACCGAGCACGATCAACGAGCCCAAACTTCTGCCCGTGGGAAGTAAAGTGAGCTTCTTCCTAACGGTGGACGCCGTCAAAGGGCTCGCGCCGCACGACTTCGCCTCTGCGCACCTTCAGACGCGACTGAGCGCGTTCGTGGGATCCAGCTTGAAAGCGGAGGAGATGTACGCAAGCAATGCTGTGGATCTGGCCAAGGCACCGCCGAGCGATTTGAAGTTCAGGAGGGCGTTCTCGTTGGTCGTTACGAGCAAGGTGTTGCAGCATCTAAGGACGGGGTATGCGCCGATCGAGTTGTTTGCGGTGTTAAAGCCGCAGTATTTGGAGAGGATGGAGAGGTGGGATGAGCTGAGGGAGCAGAAGGTCGCGTTCCCACAACGGTCTGGGTCGCCGTCGGCCACTTCGAACGGCAACGGGAATGCGGAGGACGTACTTTCTCCCGCGGCGTCGTACTCTGCTGTGTCGTCTTCGGCGGCTAGCACGAGTAGTGGACATACGGGCGGCGGAGCACAACCTCAGCCGACGATGAGGAGATCGGAGAACGACTTCGTGATGGAGCAGACGCACGATGTCGTGGCGTACCTTCAAGTTCGCGAGCTCGCGCCGGACGGGTCGTATGCGCCAGTACCACTCCTCACCCAAGGCAACCTTGACCCCGGAGCCTTCAGCTTGCATCAAGGTCTCCAACGAAGACTGTCGCTCACGCTCACGAGCAATTCCGGGAAGCAGCTACCGTGGACGGATGTGGTGCGCGTTAGGGTGGGCAACATCCGGTCGTTGGACGCGAAGGGTCGGGTGCACGAGAGCTCGAGTCGGCCGCTCGTTACGCTGCCGTTGTTGGCGGATCAGACGCTCGAGTTCAGACCGGACGGATCGGCATTATTGCAAGCTACAGCGCTCTGGGATTCTTCGGTCCACGATAGCGCGCTGCTCAATCGTGTCACTGCGAACGGGCAGCGGGTGCTGTTGCAGATCACTTGGTCCGTGGCAGTGGAGAACTGTGCAGAACCGGTTCAGTTCAGCATGGATATGGCCGTCACAATGCAGACGCGCGACGCGCGACCACCGAGCAAGATCGTCGCGCTACTGAGCAGCACGAGGATACTGCAGAAGAGCAGTTCGGTCTTCCGCGTGCGGCTCAGTCCACCGCTCACACGCTCGGCGAAGGAACTCTGGCGGCTCGACACGAGCGAGAAGTACGTTCGCGGCGAGGAGGTGCTCAGTACATGGCGGCCGCGCGGTCTTTCTGTTGTCGAGGACTACGGAAGGCTCGTTACGATGGAGCGCCGCGCGGCGGACGTACAGGCTGTGCGAGTCGTACTGGCACATTCGCCCGCCGGTCAAGCGCAGCTTAGCGCCGAGGCACAACAATGGGCGCGTCAAGATGTGTTGGCCAAGGCGCTTACGCTCTGGCAGAAGCGCTTCGGTGCTGTCGGCGAGATCGTGCTTAGTCAGGAGCCGACGACGCCCGTTACGCCTGCTGTACCAGCAACCCCGCCACGGTCTGCGAGGCTGAGGCGCGAACCGAGGGAAGAGCCTATGCAACTTGTTGCGAGTACGAAGTTGATGCCGAGGAGCGATATACCGACGAAGAGTGGGCATTTGAATGTGTTGCTCGATGCGACGAATGATGTGTGGGAACGGAGATGGTTCGTTCTTCGAAGGTGCGCACACTGTTCTCTAGGAAGAGCGAGGCGCTTACTCCCTCGCAGACCGTATCTGCACGTTTACAAGCACTCGAATGAGCTGGAGGAGATCTCGGTGATCAGCTTAGACGGGGTGAACGTCGAATACAATCCGGATCTCGAGTCACTCTATGGAGTACGTTGTGTGCTCATCCGTCCATCCTTCGTCTTACTGACTCCCTGTCACAGCGCCCATTCACGTTCACCCTCTTCACTTCTTCCAACTCACACGCCCTTGCCGCTCCAAGTCTGAAAGAGTTACAATCATGGACATCCAAGCTAGACCCTACCCGTCTGCCTTCATGACCCTCACCGCCCCTTCACGATTGATTCTTGGTTCCTTCCTGCCATCGCTCCTTGCTGCTGTTGCTCCGATCTCATTCTCGTCGCTACATCTGCTGCTGTCCATGTCCGTCGCTCGTCAATCTATACCATACGTACCCCCGGAACACCCTCGTATAGTATCTATCTCAGTAGGAATACCCGCATATCCCATTCTTCTCGTTTCTCTTTCAGTGTGTTTAGAGGTTTCTTTTGTCGTTACGGTGTTCAGCGCTTTGGCTCTGCTCCTTCATGTATGCCTAGTCTTTAGTGCCACAATCTATAACGTGACTTGTTGCTAGACTTTCATCACGAGGGCTCCGCGCACTCATCATCACCGCCTGCGATCTTCCACGCTTTGTTCATCCTCGGCTCTGAACTCTATCTCTGCGCGCACACCCATCCCACCCTGTTGATATGTCAGGCCTTTTCACTGTATCGTCGTTACCGTTCCCACGGTAATCCAGGTCGCTCGATGCACTCATGGTATGAACTCCGCGCGCCGAACCAGGCAAGACACGTCGCCCAACGTCAATCTCAAGAGTGACAGTGGCTGCTTCAGATCGAGGCTCGAAGTGAGACCTGCAAAGGGCTGGATGTCGTGCGAGTAATGGATCCTATCGGGAACCGCGAGTTTGATGATGGCGATAAAGAGTCAAGCTGACGCGCGACGAGACCCGCGCGCTTCGGCGCGCACTTGCGACTTATACCTGAGCCACCACGAGGACCTAACACAGCGCATGAAATATGCCTATACACACGATTGCCCATACATCTCCCCGGAACACACCCAGATGTTTACAACTGATACACGATCAAGTTCGACCACTTTTATCCATCTCCTATGAACATGAGCGGTCTCACGGACTCCTCGTGGCTTTCTCCAGTCTTCGACCGTCGCGCGCGGCCATTAATACTACACAATCAGACCTCTTCGAAGCGAGACGATCCGAACGGAAACGAAATGGCGTCCACAGGCCGCGTGCCGGGCGCATGCATCGGGCTCGCGTCCATGATGACCGCCATACCTCGAACATGTGCGAGAACTTGCGTGCTCGTCGTTGCGGTGAGCATAGCAACGGCCGTCTATCAAAACTGATCAGTACGACCGAGAGTGACGTGGCTTGTATGGCTTCAAGACTGACGATGTAGTTCAACTATCCGCTGAACGATATCTTGCAGCTCCTCGCGATGGCGCTTTGCGCTGAAGAATCGCCTGAAGCGGCTCTTGCGCTCCTTGACGATGCCCTCAAGGTCGTCCTTCAGTGCGGATATGTCACTGTACGGGCTTAACATGTTCATTTCGAGATGGATGAGAGGATTGGCATACACGGCGAGCGCCTTGATGGCCTTTTGATGCGCTGGTGTAAGCATGCGGCCCTCTTCGGCGCCCGATCTGAGCAGATCTACCAGGCTGTTGACGCGGTTGCGGACGTCTCGAATGTGCTTCTTATTGCTTGACGCCATCTTTCCATGGTGTCAAGATACGATACACGATCATACAGACTGTAGAGAGACTCACATCCGCAGATGTCGTGAAGAAAAGAAGCCCACTCGCCGCGCTCTTCAAAGGTGGAAAAGCGTCGGACGACTGTACGATTCCCTCCAAGGTGAAGAGGAGTGCATCCTTGGCGATCGTCCCGTAGAGTGCGGTCCAGTCTGCGTTGGTGGACGTGCTGTTGACACCGGTGGGTGGGTCCGGTGTGACGAGGATTACGATGAGTCTAGCTAGCTCTTCCTCGCAGTATTCGTTGCGAAACGTAGCTTTCATGCGGACAATGTCAGTCCGCCCAACATCATGTTTCAGCATCACGTACAATTGTATTCATCGGTAAGATCATCCATGAAATATGCTAGCCAATGCAATTGAACCAAGATTTGCTCAACACAATCCTTGCTCTGCAGTATGCGCGCGGATTGGACTAGTACGCACATATCGACAGCCGTCGTCAAGGTATTAAGTAGACTGTCGACTTGCGGATTACTGAACTGTCGAGTGCTGCATTTCTAGAGGGATCGCTGTTTAGTATTGTGAGCGACGACTCATGTGGTAGTTGAATAACCTGGTACACATCGTAGGCCCAGTACTGGGCGTGAAATATATTTCCGGAAACACTCGCAATCTGCACATCAAGGCGGGTTTGAGATTAGTGTTCGTGATTGAGCAGTTGCACGCACATTTGTTCGATAGGCGGCTCCCGCAAAAGAGGAGAGTCCACGGAGAGCAACATCCCATGAAGCCGCTGCCGATTGTGATGTAGAGGGAGCACCGCCAGGCTCAGACACCGCACTGCTTTCAATCTCGAGTTGGCAGTCCTCTTCTTCACCATCAACAGGAACTGCGGAGGCAGAGATGAAGAGAGTGCACTCTGTGGTGGTATCGTAGTAAGGTCGGGCCCGTCGCGTCGGCACAAGCGATACTAAGCGGGAATGGTCGCCCCTCAGCGGAATCCCGATACGCACTGCATATACGCACCAGAAGAGACTTGCTTCAGATCCCCAGCAGGGTAGACACAGTCATAGAAATCTTCACGTTCTCCATCATACAAGGTGAACCGAACAAAACTGTGCTCAGAACAGGTACTAGGTGGGTATGAGCAGATATTGTAACGATGCACACTCACGGAGTTGTCCGACGTACATGTATAAAGTTTCATTCCACTGTACTGTGCCTCGAAGGCATCCTATACCCTCACGAGCATACGAGGACTTGATGAAGTGGTCACTTTCCCGGCTCCAAGTGAGATCGATTTCAACGAGGAACTCTCGAACCACAGAACTTTCGGTCGAAGTCTTCGGTCGAGGTAGACCTTTGCACCCATCGACTGACCACGCATGGCATCAGCACTGGGCATGCGACAAAGGAGGGAGATGCGCACGATGAATACGCAGACGTATCTCTTTGCCGAGCGGATCAGGTGGCCCGGCAGCTCTTTGTGGGCCAAAGAGGGGCAATCTGCAAGGAAAGTTTAAGCCATCGCAGTACGAACGGGTGGGGCGTTTGCGTACGAAGACTCTGAGATATCAGACATAAGAGACACAGGGTGGTCAACAACTCGAAGGCGGGGAGAAGGTGGGCGTAGGAGGCAAGAAGGGGCGAGCCCGAGTACTATAGCTTGCCATACCTTTACTGCGTGTTCGTCCATAGGCGCTGAGAACCATATATCGCACGCCAATAGCGCACGACGGCTGCACGGCCACAATCAATGATTTCTCAAGCCCAAGCTTCCCATCCCCGGAAGGACGGACACCTGTATTCAGGGATAGGCGCCAGGCAATACACATTCGCGATCGGACAGATACATGGTTTCATAGTACATACAGCAATCGTACATCCTCAGCCCTTTCTTGTCTTGTTCTCGCACGCCGGAATGAGAATCCTGTGCGCAGGACCTCAGGCGACGGATACAGCATGGCCTTCAGAGACCCGAGATTGAACGGGTTTCGATCGGTCTCTTGGCTTCTGTTGTGTGGCGTTCACCGGGGCTCCTCCTAGAAAGATTCAGTTGTTAGTGCACTGATCACTAAGAGCATGGAGAAGGAACGCGGGAAGACTTGAAGACATGCAGGCGGGAAGAGCCGCGCGCCGCCAAGATACGAAACCTATCACATAGCGCGCATCCGAGTCCACAAAAGCGTCGGATATAGAAGACATCGAGACAAGAGCGCACAAGGCAGTGTGATTGCACAAGATACGACTTCCGCAGAAGAGGAGAACGAGGGGGAGAGGAAGAGTGGAAGACGTACTCGTCGGGAAAAGACCCTAACTTCGCCTCGTACGCCTCGCTTGATCATCCAGATAACATATCCCTCCGTGTAACATTGATCATATCGCGGTTCTTGTGCCGATGAACTCGGGACTGGGCAGCCGGGACCGTGGGGAAAGCGCTGGTCGCCGAAAGCGGTGTGGTCGAAGTAGTGTGCGTGCTTCTTGAGGGCTGGGTGGAGTCGATATTGGGTTTGGGTAGGGTGCTCGTCGAGGCGGTGTAGCACCGGGCTACGACGTCGGGCGCTGGATGGGGGCGTTTGTGGATGGGAAACTCCCTGTAGCTGACGACATCCGCGAAGACGTGGTGAGATTAGAGTGAATGATAGGCAGCGAGAGTCATCAAGGGAGGTAGAACAAGGCGCGCTCGGTCATGATGTAACAGGTTCTGCAAGAGAAGATCGTGGTTGTAGAACATGATGTCCGCGTAAAATTGGCCCCCTTGATATAAACCGCACACAAGTTCTACACTGTGGAATCAGGCTTTGAAGATTTGAATATTATTGGTATGGGACATGGGAACAAACCGAAGAAGCAGATAGACAGAATGCAAGAATCAGTCAAGGTCCGTCTGGTCGCGCGGCCTGTACTTAATCCCACGCTGCTCGAGCTCCGCCTCAACATCTTCGGGTATCCGACCCTTAACGCGTACTGCGTACATCCCACGAACAAATTTAGCTGCGAAACGAGGTCAGCTTCAGATTCAACCGAGCGGAAAAGGGACAAAGCCGAATCACACGCACATGTTCTTTGCCACCTCGCCACCCAACTCTTCTCCGGATCGATATTCGCAATGATCCCGTCAAAATAAGTCGTCGTGCACACTTGGATTCGATCCGGAGAGCCGCGCATCTGGAGGATGAGTAAGCTACAGACTCTTTTGTCCAAGTGACAAGTGAGGCGTACCTGCATGAACTCTTCGCAGTTCGGACATCCTCCTCTCCTGAAGTCAAGCGGGGTCTGGATGATAGAGCATAGCAGGCATGCGCGAAGCTGTTTTGCGCGGGCAGCGGGAGGGATAGACGCTGCGGGGACGTTGGACATGACGGCAGGAGGCAAGACGCGCGAGTTGTGGCGCGCTGAGGCTCTTCTCTTACCGTCATGGCGACATAGAAGGTCGGAATGTAGCTTATACCCGCTCTCTTGCTGTATACCCAGGGCACCTTACTTCTTGAGAGCCATATCCAGTATGGCTCGCCATCTCTGTATTGCGTACGTCTACACATCAAGCCCTCACTCCCTGTGAACTGACAGGTAAGCCCACACGTAGGATGATATCCGACTTCTTCCACCCCGCAATTGGTGGTGTTGAGAGCCACATCTACATGTTATCTGCTCAACTTCTTGGTCTCGGCCACAAGGTCATCGTGGTCACGCATTCCCATCCTCCAACACATATTGGCGTTCGCTACCTCCACCCTGGCGTCAAAGTCTATTACATCCCTTTTCCGCCGATTGCCTCCAACGCGACGTTACCGAACTTCTTCACCTTCTTGCCATATTTGAGGACTATTGTCATCAGGGAAGGTGTCGATGTCATTCATGCCCATGCGAGCTTGAGCAGTCTCGGCCACGAGGGAATCCTACATGCGCATCTTTTTGGGCGAGAAGGAAGAGGCAAGGAGGTCAAGACCGTTTTCACGGATCACAGTCTTTTTGGCTTCGCGGATGCTGCCAGTATTCTGACCAACAAGCTGTTGGAAGCCACGCTGTGCCATGTCGATGCTGTCATATGCGTGTCACATACCGGGTAAGTTCGCCCTACTGGCATCGCAGGAACCTCAATTGACTACGAGTTTGTAGGAGGGAAAACACGGTCTTGCGCGCAAACTTGATGCATCGTATGCTTCAACCCGACCCGAGTGTATACGTCATACCGAACGCGCTCGTCGCCGACCAGTTTAAACCCGCCGAAGTACCACCTCCCAGCACTGACACCAGTAAGTGATTACCTCGTTCAGTCACATCTTGAGAACTCACACTTCACTAGTAACGATCGTCGTCGTGTCGCGCCTTGCGTACCGGAAAGGCATTGACCTCCTTGTTGCTGCCGCGCCCAGGATATGCGCCGCTGCACCGGATGTGCGGTTCGTTGTTGGTATGCGTCCGTCGCTATGGGGGCTGAGCGCACATACTCACCGATCTCAGGCGGCGATGGCCCGAAGATGATCGACCTCCTCCAGATGCGCGAGAAGCACTTCCTACAGGACCGTATAGAGCTACTTGGGCGCGTGGCGCCTCAGGGTGTGCGTGATGTACGTCTGCATCTCCGGCACAGCATTTGCCTTTTACCTTGGAAGCTGACAAGCGAGCAGGTTCTCGTCCGTGGCCACATCTTTCTGAACACGTCTTTGACCGAGGCCTTTGGCATAGCTATTCTTGAAGCCGCGTGCGCTGGACTATATGTTGTATCGACGAGAGTTGGAGGCGTGCCGGAGATCTTACCTGAGGATATGATCAGCTTTGCCGGAGTCAGCGAAGACGGTGCGTATCTTCAGGAATGAACAACTTTGCAAAGCAATGCTCATGCGCATCCAGATGTGTTTCATGCTACGATGCACGCCCTTTCCATCATTCGCGAGGGTAAACACAACCCTCAACATGCGCACGAGCGAGTGCGAGGATTTTACGATTGGTCGCGCGTCGCGAAGCGGACGGAGAGGGTATACGAGGACGTCATGAAGAAGGAAGGGGAGGAAATCTGGGACCGGATCGAGCGGTGCGTCTCTGACCATTTGTACTACAATACCCAGACGCTGATGTTCGGGTAGAACAATGGGATTAGGGCGGTTCGCAGGCCCGATCTTCACCATCATCTTGATCGTCGACTGCCTGTGGTTCGCGTTCTTGGAATGGTGGATCCCGAGGAAAGACATCGAAGTTGTCGAGGAGAGCTGGGATGTAGATGCCTTTGAGGATGCCAGAAACCGATGGGAGGAACGGATGCAGAAGTCGCCCGACGACCGGAAGGGAGGCCAGTGAGGGGGATGGTGAAGGTGCGGGGGAAACATACGGAGTGCATTGAGTGCATGCTCGGTGAATGACGCAGACGATGCTTGCAAGGATCATATCGGCTGTCGAAGTTTTGCGAAGTTGAAGAGCATGCGAACTAGAGAGAGTGCTCGATTGCTTGACGAACCCGGCGTATCCGTCGACTCAGTTGGGTCTCTGCTGCCAGGCAGCGTTCCGTTGGCAGGCTCTCATTCCAGTCTGTTCGTCGATGGCTTGCCATACGGCCAATACTTTCTCCAGTCCATGCGAATGCAGCTCTCGAGTATGGTCGATCCATCACGCCTATGACACAGTTCCTCGCTAGGACCACGATATGTACCGGGCATCATCTTCACGGCCACATCCCTTCCTTCGCATGCCTCCCGCCTTTGACGCTCTCGATTCGGGTTGGGCTCCGCCTACGCCAACTCCGACACCGACCGTCTCTACTCCAGAAACTTTCACGCTCATTTCGTTCTCATTCCCGCCTTTGACACCTGCGACAGCCACAATGGCTCCCACGTTCTCTCTGTCTCTTGCATCGCAACTCTCCGCCGCCTCTTCAGTCGCATCCACATCGCTACCCACGCCATCCGGCTCAGCAAATATATCCGAAGCAAACTCGGCCGCTCTCTTCCAGTTGCGCACAGCATTATACCTCCTCATAGTCGGGTGCATCGCGCTCTCCGCCGTCGTCCTCCTGCATGGATACCTCTACTATCAATGGCGCCGTCAGCGCGCCGCCGAAGCGAGGACTTTCGCAGTCTCTGCTCTTAAAGGGAACGACTCCACTTCCGAGTTATCTTCTTTCGCCAGTCCGGGGAGCCTTGCGGCGTTAACACCGCTATCGGACGCCGGAGCCATCGAGAACGGCTCGCTTCCGAGGAGCACGCGGGATACCTTCGCGGCTCAAGGCAACACTCCCACAGAAGCCTCCTCTTTTCCCTCTTCATTGTCCATACTGGCGAAGCCCAGAACGACGCGCGACCGCGGTACGCAGACCGAGAAGAGGTACCACCGTCGCCGCATGCCTACTACATCCGAGGAGACGTATACCAGCACCGCCAGCACGCCACCAGACTCACCCGTTGATCCGAGCCATACCTCGCGCGACACCGTCGGGCGAATCGTTGCCGTTTACTCTACCTACCGTGGGACTTACCCATCTCCGACATCACCTTCCGATAACTCCGACCTCAATTCGGACCTCCATCCTGACTACACATCCACCTCTAGCAACTCGAGCGATACCGCGCGCAATGGGCCCACACTCACCCTTCAATTCCCTACTCCACCTTCGACCGGCATGTCGTCCTTTGAGCCGTTAGACGCCCGCGCCCTGTCCCGCGCCGGCCGAAATAACCCGTTCTCGGACTTCGGAGGTGATGGCGTCAGAGAAGGGCGCTCTCCGAGAGAAGCGGGGAGTAGGGAGGGGAATGCGATGCTAGAGCAATTCCTCAGATCCGTGGTGTTGGACGGAGAGGGTGGCCGGGAGAGTGCTATTCGGACGATCTCGCATTCGTCGGCAGGCATGGAGGAAAGACAGTGGTTCGTCTGAGCTGCTTTGCCTCGAAGGATTTCGTAGTACTATATACCTTGAATATTGTTGCCTCACATTCGCTTACCATGTCTCCCCTTCCGTCGCCCATTTTGCAATACGATGAATTAAGCAAGGACTCTCGTGATCATGTACTGCCAGTGAGTACTACACTCGTTCTGTTGATTGCACTTTCACTCTCTGCCTTAAACATATCGCAACACCGAGATGCGTTGCATACTCCCAACATGGCCTGACACTGTAGCTCCGAAGTATCATGATTTATTGTGAGCAGCGAGTGATCAACATGCTCGGTAAATACATGACTATGTACACTGCACATTATACTCCCGCATGGTTTGCAAGTACCAAATCACCGCCCACGTATAGATGGGAGCTAACCTTGATCTCCTCACTAGTAAGAGTGGCGACTTTCCTTAGCAATGTATACTATCCCACCCATTGCCGTCAAGGTCCGGCTGCTCGCTATGGAGAACTTTCTCGTAGATGAACCCTCGCTGGAGATGGCTACATAGCTCGCCCCAGTCCACATCTTCTGCACGAGCGAGCAGGCGATGTACTGACTCGTGCGATTCGTTGGTTATCTCGATGGTGTCCAGGGGAACACCCGCGCGCGCTGCTTGCTCGCAATAGACGAGCGTACGCATTAGGGTCCTTCGAGCCCGTACGTCGCCTCTTTGGGGCTCGTCTTCGTCCAATGTGGGGTATACAGTGTGGGCTACCTCCGCGGCATCGAAAATGATATTGGTGAAGACCCGACGCTTGTGTACACGAACTTGTTCGTGAAGAATCCCAAGCAAAGCTTGTGCTGTGCTTGATTCAGGGCGCATGACGACGGTCGTTGCCCCGGGCATTTCTGAGATCAATATACCCAACAGCTCCGTAGTGAGCATGGCCATCCGTACGTCCACGCACGTCGTCTGCGAAAGAGGCCATCCCTGCAATACGTTCTTCATGATGGAAGCTTCAGCACTGACAGAGGACGATGATTCAATGCCGATACAAGGCGATTCTTCGTGCTCAGGCGTATACAGCCAGCGGTTGACAGTGGATCTGTCAAGACGTCTGTGGCGAACCTGGCCGAAGATTCCCAGTCGCGACGTCAGGGGAGTCGGGTTTTCGCCGTTTTCGTCCTCGAACATTACGGGGACGCGCGACAGAACGATAGCGATCGAGTGAACTACAGGTGCACCCTCACGTAAAGCATGGCTGCCTAGATGTGAGGCGAGAATAAGGATTGGAAATTCGTCCGTGATGTCGTTGGTCGAAGCGATGAGCTTCGTTGAACTAGGAATGTTAACGGCCTGGAGTAATCGTTCGCAAACTTCGGTTGCAGCTTGTACGACGATCAAATCGAGATGTTGCAAGGGCCTTGTGATTGGTAACGCGGAGCCTTCGAGCAGGCAAGATGAAGGCAGATGTATAGCCAGGTGTTCAATTTCAGGGCAGCGAGACAGGGCGCCGGTGAGGTTCGTGAGAGTTAATGACGCAGGCGCGATGGTATCCCCCACGAAGGCGATGCGCAAACTGCGGAGGCCTTGGACTAAGGCCAGGTTGAAGGGCAATCCGGTGTAAGCCAGATGCAATAACTGAGGAACATTGTTCCGCAACACGGCATCCAATTCCTGCTCTACCCGTGTCGAGGCAGTGGAAGTGTCTCCGTAGCTGAAGCAATGCAACGCAAGAACGAAGAGGGTGGGGTGTCGATGGGAAGCCAGTATATGAACCAACTTGTCGATATACGCGTGTTCCCCGTTCACCGTCATAGATCTGAGAGAACTGGGGCTCCAGTAGAGGGTTGTATAGGCAAGTTTGGCTTCCGACAGAAGATTGTGGAGGCTCATTTTGAGAGTGAGCGGGAAGAGTCCAGCACGGGATCTCTGCGTTTCTATGCGCCTTACATCCCTGGCGTCAGCTTTATCCCTCTCATGGGAGTTGTAGTTACTCCCTTGAGGGAGGCTAACGTCGATGAAACTCCAGAGCTTCAAGGTCTTCATAGCGATGTCGTGCCATCGCCTGCAGACAAATAATAATCTCGTCCATCGCAGGTTGAATAGTTCGCCATTGCCTTGAGCATAGTTGAAGAAGATACTCGAGAGGATCTCCGGGTGAAGGCGATACATGGGCGACAGGAGGGCGTTCCGATGCTCCTTTAGGCGCTGCAGGCGAGACGAGCTGCGTTGCAACTCGGCTTCCAACAAGGGCGCGACGGCTGCGTGACCTTGCCCGCTGCCTACTGCTTCAAGTAGCGCTGCCTCTGGGCCCTCTGAGAGTAGTACTTCGAACGCGTGATTGTCCATGATCGATAATGGTGGTCGACGGCGAACTCGCGCACGGTGCGGCGCGTCCTCGGCCAGTAGTCGGCCCGAAGGGGCCGTGATGCAGGCGCGCGTTGAACGTTTCTCGGCTTTCCCTTCGCACCGCGATGTGCTCGCCGTGCTCGTGCCCATCTATCTTTGCCCAAATAGCTTGACCATAAGTAAAGCCGGGTTCTCCGTAGCAACCGGGAAACTTCTCACCAACCGTCCCTATCGTTTTTGGCCCTCCTTCACGTGCCAGTCGGAGAACTGAATGAAGCGGGACATCGAACATGTTGATCACGTCGGCGTATCACCGTCCTGCACTCGACGGCACCTGGAATGCCTGTCTACCAGTGGCTGGTCTAGCGCTTGAAGGATGAGCAAGTCCCGGGTGCACACTAATCATCATGCCTGTGCACGGCGTAGATTCTACCAGACGGCCACTCTCATCCGGTTCGAGTAAGCACACAATACCTCGCTCACATCCCACACTCGTTGATGCGTTCCGTGTGAAGCTACGTTCTAACCTATGTTCTATATTATGTTCGTGCCTACCGCACCATCCACAACAGCGGGATAATCACGATTGCGGCGGAGACGGGGTACCTTCGCGAGACTTTGCCTCTCACCGTCGCGACGACTCGAAATATCCTCAGGTTGGGTAGCAGGGAGCTGGCGTGGTTCGAGAGGGATAGCGAGGTGCGTTTATATCTATCTCAGGGATGTTACTTAAGCTCACCTCTAAGTAGTCCATTGAAACGGTTGTCGTCGCTTTTGTACGCCATGCGTTGGTCGCTTTTCGTCCTGTTTGTGGCGTCGCTAGTCAGCGATGCCTACTCGGAATCCCACTCTGTGAGCTTCATAAACAAGTAAGCGCCCTTCACGCAATATGTCAAATGATTCGCCGCTGACATGGTACTGCGAGTTGTGGTTCGGGAATGGTCAGTGGCGTATTCGCTCTATTTACAGACCGCTGAATGATGTCTGCACAGCCGACACTCTTGATAGGCCAAACGGTAATATCCAACGGCTCCGATTACATGAGCGATATGAGTATCAGTGAAGCTGTGGCGTACGTCAAGTCCACTCGCTCTTCAGGCAAGTCAACGCTGACCCCTTCTAGGTACCTCGATCAAGGCAAATTAGACTATACCTTCCCGTAACCTATATTGATTGCTGCCACGTAGATGGTTGCGCCGCTGGAGGCAGCGAGACCTGCATGGAGATCGAGTTCGGTCTCTCGAACAGTTCCCCTTCCTTTGTCGACATTTTGTTGATCCCACCGTGCGCAAATCGCGTTCCTGAAGAAGTCTTCTCTAGTGACGCAAATCCTCAGCCAAACATACCAAAATGCGGCATGCGTGTCGTTTTCGAATGGATGCGATGGGGCTAGTTTGAGCTGTACGTCGTATCAATGTCCAGTGATCTCACAACTCTGAATATCTTCTGCTTAGGCACGGAGCCTGGCTGTTCAGCGGCGTTCACAAGTCAGGACGACTCAGCCGGCGCCGGGACTGTCCTCATGTGTGAGGAAGAGGATGTAAAGCACTCCATCTCAATGCATGGAGTATTGTTTGCTGACTTAGATTTCGTCGCCAGGTCAACATCGTCATCACATTCTGCGGCTGTGACACGGCTCCGGTGGAATCGTCAGCCATTTTATCTGCTCATACGAGTCTCGACTGACCCCACTGCGATGAAGAAGCGCTTCAGGCACCCTTATCACTACCGGGACACCGAACATCACGTCTACCACTGCTCAAGCAATGACCCCCTCGTCCTCGACGTTGCTCGCCGACTCACCGCTCAAGATGATATCGACTACTGCCAGCGACTCTTCTTGGACGACAACCTCCTCTACGTCTACGTCTACGTCCTCATCTCCCGCTACTGCGATCACTACTACGTCCAAAGCCCTCACCGCAACCTCCAGCGCACGCCCTTCTTCAAGCAATGCTACGGGCATTACCACGATCACAAGCAGTCCCTCATCTTCAGTTCAGGGAGTTCCCAGCGCCCCGTCCTCCACATCCTCAATCTCGAGCCCTTCAACATCCAACCCGGAATTTCCTGGCGTAGTAGGAGCGTCAAGAAAGTCGACCGACCATTCAGCAGTAATCGGTGGGGTGCTTGGCGGTGCCCTTGCTGCACTTACCCTCACTGTCGCGATTTTCTTTTTCATCCGCCGACGTCGTCGAGGACAATATGCTGAAACGAGCGGTCAGCGTGGCTCGGAGTTTTTCCCCAGAGATTCATCGCAAGTTCCCGTGGCGTACGGAAACGGCGATCGCGCAACGACCTACGCCCCGATCTCAAGTGCCGCATCGCCCGTTATGCACTCACCGCATCCGTGGATGACATCGCCAGAAACCGTCATGGACATCCGATCGACCTTCATTAGTGACTACACTCGCACTGTAGAGAGCAACGCGGCAAGGACGTCGACCATCTCGAGCAACAATCCGTTCAATCTGCCGCCTCTGACCAACATTTCGTCGTTCTCCTTGCTCTCTCCTCCGGAGGAAGAAAGAGGGACCTCCTCAGCAGGAGGCTCGCTCGGGCAGCGTGTCCCAGTCACGGACCCATTTGACCCATTCAGTGACGCTCGAGCAGTAGACGATCCTCCGCCTAGCTACAAGGGATGATGACACGAGCTGAATGTGATGTCCATGTATCGTCTTCCCCCTGTCTTTATACCCTCTCCTCTCTTTACCCACCACTGTCATTATTGCTTGTCACTCTCTTATCTATCGATCTCTGCCTTTGCTTTATCTATGTATCTGCTGGGCATTCCCGAGTATCACTCGTTGCTGACGCGTAGATTACTGAAGTCATCTGATCGCGTCCCAGATATTTTCTCCGAAGGGCACTATTGCGCAACTTCCGGTTCTACCGTCCCTACATCCCTCCTTACGCCCATCATCCAATTCCATACCTTAGCTCATGCCGCATGTGTCAGTCGAGAACGAGCGGTTCTGTTGAGACAGGTACTTACTTTACAGTACGCGATGCAAAGCCGGTAAACCCGATCCGAACCTCCTAAGGGCATGTGATAGTCCCGTCGCCGGAGCTTCAGCATGAAATGCGGGGTAAACCACATTCAGCGTGAGCGACTCGGCAGGCTCACTCCTCTACCGCCACCATGCTTCGCTCTGTTGCTCGCTCATCATCACGTCTGACCACGGCTACTCGGCCTGCCGCACGGTGTGTCATATACCATACCAGTATAGACACGCACGGCTCATCGTACCGGTTGAATGCAGTGCTTTCTCGGTCTCGCATCTGCGTAGGAATGAGCCCACGTCATTACACACATTCACAGAGGAGGAGGATATGCTTCGCGAGTCAGGTTTGTATTATTGCTATCAAAGTGTTTCAGCTGTCATTGACAAACGAGTTCACAGTGCGGCGATTCGCAGTTGACGTTGTCGGGCCGAAAGTGCGCGAGATGGACGAGCAGGAGCGGATGGACCCGGAAATTATCAAGGCATGCTTTGAGCAGGGTGTGCGTCTATGTCATTTATCTTTGTTTATGACATTGGCTAACGCACCCGTCTAGCTCATGGGCATTGAGACGAGTGCCGACCTTGGCGGTTCTGAGAGTTCATTCACTTCAGCCATCATTGCGATTGAAGAACTTGCGCGGGTAGACCCCTCGGTCTCTGTCATGGTCGATGTACACAACACGCTTGTGAACACTGTACTCCGAACGTATGCGACGAAGGAGCAGCAAGAGCAGTGGTTACCCCTGCTCTCAGAGTCAAAGGTGCGTCCATACCGTTCAGCAGGATACACATTCTTATACTTTTCTAGCTCGGCTCCTTCTGCTTGTCTGAGCCCGCATCCGGATCAGACGCTTTTGCCCTCCAGACGCGTGCGGTGAAGGACGGTGACGACTACATCATCAACGGTTCGAAGATGTGGATTACGAACTCATACGAGGCAGACGTATTCCTCATCTTTGCCAATGTAAGCTTTGCCCGCGCCCGTACGGCTGCCACTCGCTGACTCCGTCCAGGTCGACCCGAGCAAAGGATACAAGGGGATCACATGTTTCATCGCAACGAAGGATATGGGCATTCAGATCGCGAAGAAAGAGGAGAAGCTCGGCATCCGCGCCTCCTCTACGTGCACCTTGAACTTCGACGACCTGCGCGTACCGGCAGCGAACATTATCGGTGGCCTTGGACTCGGTTACAAGATTGCAATCGCGATTCTCAACGAAGGACGCATCGGTATCGCCGCTCAGATGCTCGGTCTTGCACGCGGCGCATTCGACAAGGCCGTCCCATACACATACGAGCGCAAGCAGTTTGGTCAGGCCGTCGGCACATTCCAGGGCTTGTCTTTCCAGATGGCGAATGCAGCGATCGAGATCGAGGCGGCAAGACTGTTGACGTACAACGCTGCGCGGAGGAAGGAGGAGGGCAGGGAGTTCGTGAAGGAGGCTGCGATGGCGAAGTACTACGCCAGTCAGGTTGCGCAACGCGTTTCTGGCGGTGCTATTGAGTGGGCTGGTGGTGTCGGCTTCACACGCGAAACGGGTATCGAGAAGTTCTGGCGCGACTCCAAGATTGTACGTCCCCTATACACCGATTTCCCTCTGCATCTCGCTGACGATAGCTTGTGTAGGGCGCAATCTACGAAGGCACGTCTAACATTCAGCTGCAGACGATTGCCAAGTTCCTTCAGAAAGAGTACTCTTAGGGTGCGGCTCGGTCCCGGATTTCGAATATTCCCAACCACGCAGGCTCCATCTCATTCACTTGTACATGTATCTATCTCAACCACAATCTATCGCTGTGCACTTACTGAGCGAAACTTCTACCCTGGACCGGCACCGGCACTTGTGCTACACCCGGTACGTCACGGGCACTAGCGTCAACATGCGCCCACACGTCCCCGCGGCAACGTTGCCGCGGCTTCGGCGTTAAGGTCTTCGCAGCCAACCATCGGCCTGCATGCGTCGCGCTCTACAGCTCTGACAGGGACTCTTATAGACGTATAAAGGCAAGAGAAATGGCACGTCGGTGGTCATCACCCGAGACCCCGCGCACTTCTTCGTCATCTGCTTCCATGTCCACGTCTTCAAACTCCCCACGCATCCCCGCCATCTATGTATGCGCATCTCACTCCTATACTCCGGAGCCTTAACTCAATGGATTATCTAGGGTACCTCGTTCTTCGGTACCAAAGTTGCCGCTACCGATGCTCAGGCGTTCATCGACACCCTTCTTCGCGCCGGCGGTTCGCGTCTTGATACGGCTCAACGGTATGGCAATGGTGCATCCGAGAACGTATGTCAGATCTCGATACTCGGGATATCGCTGACACTCTGTCAAGGTTGTGGTCGGTCTGGACGTCAAGAACTGTACAGTCGATACCAAGTTTGTTGCCCGTCTGCATAGGCGCCCAACCATCATTGATTATGAGCATCAGGATATTCCCATCGCCTCCGGATGGCTTTTCCACCTCTGCCACTCGTGATGCTGTAGAGCGCTCGCGGGCGCTCTTCGCGCAACATGGTCTCAAGATCAATGTCCTGTATCTTCACGCGCCTGATCGCGAGACGCCCATCGAGGAGACTCTGGAAGCGCTCAATGAGGCGCACAAAGCTGGTGCATTGTAGGCCCTCTCCAAGGCTGACCTCAAGCAGGTACTGACAAGCTCGAAAGCAAGGAGCTCGGATTGAGCAACTTCTACGCTTGGGAAGTCGGTGAAGTCGTCGGGTACGCTCGCGCGAAAGGATGGGTTGTTCCCACAGTCTACCAAGGCCAATACAATGCCATCGACAGAACCGTTGAAGAGGAGTCAGCGTCTCCGTCTCTTCATCAATCGCAACCACTCATCATCATCAATAGACTATTCCCTTGCCTGAGGAAGTACAACATCCGCTTCGCGGCCTACTCGCCTCTTGCGTGCGTATACCATGCTACTTCGGCTTCTCCGGCGCCATCGCTGATGGCACACATATGCGCATTTAGTGGCGGCATTCTCACAACCGCGTACTTGTCCGACCCTCAGAAGATCCTCGCCAACCCACGGTTCCAGCACCCGCGTTGGAAGGATCGCTACACCGTTGCCATTGAGAAACTAGCCGGCATCCGTGCGCTCGCGGTAAGCACGCACGACAACTGACGCCACAGCGTGCTTCGTGGCTGATCCTGTGCTTCGCAGGAGAGCAAGGGCATCACAATTGAAGAAGCCGCGACGCGGTGGCTAGTCCACCACTCGGCACTTCGTACATCGGATCATGGCGTCTTATATGGAGCTAGCAAGGTTGAGCAGCTCGAGACGTCGTTAGCCAATCAGTGCGTAGCTTTCGAGAAGTTGGTGTAGTACGTGACTGATGGTTGGACATTCAGCGCGAAGGATCCTCTTCCAGAGGATATCGCTACGGCGCTGGAGGATCTGTGGGTGAACGAGCTCAAGGGCAAGACCCCGACGTACGCGATGTGATCGGTGTAAAGAGCTTGAAGCAAGCTGCAAGGGCAGTCAAGGCCTCTGTACGTCGGAAGGTGTGGAGGACCCTGTCCGCGCTCTCGGACGTGATGTAGACTAGCAGGAAGAGTGACTGTGTGCCGATATATCTGAGTACAAGAGCTCTAAAGCAATAGAAATCGGACTACAGATACTGTTCGAAGGCGGCAACCGGCCTTCCAACGACCTTCTGGCCTGATGCAGCGTGTGCACATGAGGGCGCCCGGCGGCGTCGATTGGCCATCGTGAGCGTGTGCATCGTGGCTTGCCCGCCACCACCACCGGTGATTGCGGTTCCGGACAATATTACGCTTGAAGCAATTCACCTACTTGTTCCTTCACCTACTCTATGTCTGTCCGCAGGATCTCTGCGATGGGCTCTGCGGCGTCAGCTTATCCTCGCTAAATTACGTTCCATCGTCTGAATCTACTACCTCGTGCGAACCGGCATGTCTGGCTATCGAGATCCTCGGGAAAGTGCTTCCTGCATGGCACACTGGCTTTCAATGCGCTTCAGAGGTCCTACAAGACATGATACTCGCGCACAAGAGTATCGTGGACTTATGGACTTCGAACGAGAGAGCTACCACAAGCTGTCCATGGACGCCACGCGCATCGTTTCAGGTCTCCGCCAAACGTGTGCTGCCTTCGGACTGCGGCTCCAAGTACTCCCAAGACTACTATACAGAGTATTGCCGAGCGAGCTGCATTCCGGTCAAAGCTGCTTCTCTCATCACGGCCTCTTCCCTTGTGATCGTCGCACAGCCCGTTTGGCGCTGCAAAGCAACAAAACGCGCTCGTAACCGACTTGCTTCTCGAGGATGGCACGGGCAACGATGTCCGTCTATTGATGCATGGCGCTCTACGCTCGTGGCCTGAGGCAAGTAAGCGAATGGTATAAAGCTTGGAGTTCTATGGCTTGGCCTCTTCAGCAACCAGCCAGCCCATCCAAGCAAACCACCCTCTACCAAACGCTCTTCACTACCACTTCACGCACTTAATCATGCACGCCTCATTCAAAGCCTTTACTCTCCTCGCCGCCGTCGCTTCGGCGTCCGCAACGAGCTTCAAGCTCAAGGCCCACGTCACGGCCAACGACCTCTCGCCGTCCATCGAGGGCCAGGAGGTCGCCGTCGACGCCGCGTCCGGCAACGCCTTCCTCGTCACCGCCGGTGACGGCGCAACGTTCTCGGACTCGAACAACAGCATCGACACCGACACCACGGGCTCCACCACGCATATCCACATCACGCCCGGCGGTACGGCGACTGTGCCCAGCACGAACGTCGTCACGTTCACTTCGGACGTTGGCACCCAGGGCGTCGCCGTAGCGAACGGCCAGCTCGCGTACGAGGGCGGTGTCTTCACCGTGTGCCCCGGCAGCGTTCTTCAGCAGGACACGGACGAGAACCTCGTGAGCTTCAAGTCTGCGGGCCAGCGCACGCTGTTCGGCTGTGCGGACGTCCAGCTCCAGGAGGCGTAGGCGCCTCATCTCAGGGTGCGATTGACGGCGTCAGTTATAGAACGTTTGGATCGTTTTGGTTGACGGGCTTCTTCACGATTTGGTTGCGGACTTTCTGCTCAATGGATGTAACGACTCCCTACGCTACTCTTAATGCAAAATCTTACGCTTTCTTCATCATTGTCGAATGTGCGACATCGCCGCTCAAGTGTAAAACGACGTTGCGTCCTCAGGCGCTCGCCTTAAGAAAACGTTGCATGCAGCCAACACAATGATTGCATTTATTCAGCGTGTGCCGAAGCAGCGCGGATTACATATGAAGTACAGTGGAGGATGGTCTCAACCTCGAGCAAATGTGACATCGCTCACTGCTGGTTGGTCGGCGGAGTACAGCCCGTCGTCAACGTTGGTCCAACGCCCGGAAGCTGATGCGAAACCGCAGTCAGCAACCAAATTATCACTCACAAGTGGCAGACAAACGTACAGGAATGATTGCGCCGGTACAGCACGCGGGTGAGCCCGTGCATAAGTCTCCAGGCTTGTTGCAGCCCAATCCGACCAACCCTTTGTACGTCGTGGGGTTTGGGACGCTGGCAGCCTCAAGCAGCATGACTATTTCAGCATCGTCCACCTACGTGAGTGCAGATTCAGTTCCGAGGGCAAAGCATGGTTCGACGGGACTTGAGGTGCACGTACGCCTCCAAGGGTGTTGCAGCAGTAGAATGTGCCGGTTCCCACACTGCAAGTCTGATTCTGGGCGACAACTCGGGTAGTCCCTGCGAGCATGGCAAGGGTGAGAGAAAGGGGGATCTGCATGGCCGTAGACGCGTTGATCAAGACGACGGTGTTGGAAACGTTTGGAGATGGTCGAGTCGCTGTATACTACGCTGTGCGTCGCAGGTCTTTATGGGCATTGATTTGCATGTGAAGTATACCCTTGGGCCAGAACATACGTATGACGTACCAGTTCAAAGGGGGGCATATGGCACTGTCTGCGCGCCGATCCTCATTAGGAAGGATATAGTGGCGAAGTACCGAAACTGGTGCTTGATCCACCGCAGGGAATCTGGGGACACTTCGCGAAGTCTTGCAGCGTCAATTCGGGATCCTCTCCTAGGAAAGGCATCGAGAGCGTCACGCCAAATTTGGGTATATCAGGCATTGCGAGCCTCCGTATACGAAGAGCGACGATGCGGTTTCATTGGAGGATAGCGACAAAAGCGGGAGAAGTCAGCGAATCGTCTCAGTCAGTTCGCCACCCCTTCTTTCATAGATGGACTACTGTCACTGCACAGCATCCGCATGTTTAGAGCGCAACACAGAAGCGGCGGCGTGCTAGAAGGAGTAACTAGTATGTTGAAACACAGCTGATCATCCTGGAAGGGGGATGACATATTTGGTTGGGAATCGGATGGACTCGGATAGGGACATCTGGCTTCAATGAATGGTTTGAGCGACAGGAGCAAGGCGAACCTGGATAACCGGCTCCCTCTCAGACAGTTCATCGGCCAGCAACGGCTGCGTGGTGGTGGGGAGCAGCAAGACGCACCGCCCGGCCCGCGCCAACACGACGCGCCCGACGGATCAAACGCGTTCGTCATAGCCTCAGCCTTCGGTCGCGCCGGCGACTTTCTGTGCTTGCTTCGGACGTACATATACTCGATTTGCATCTTAGCCAGCATCTCTCAAACACCTGAGTGTGAGTCATCAAACCCTCTTCCGCTATGCGAACTTGCAGCCTCAAGAAGCCTAGGCGCCTCATTCAGGTTGTCTCCGATGCCCGGGTATCATGTATGGATGTCGATTGTCAGGCTTCTTTACAATCCGGTTGCGAGCTTTTCGCTCAATGGATGTAATGACGCCCTACATTACACTCTCAAACTCACCCTTATGCTACCAGGATGGTGCTCGCGGAGATGCAGTGCGAATAAGAACTACCATTCCTGATACTCAAGCAAAAGTCGTCGAGGTTCTCTTATCTTGCGATAGTCGCCAAACACGGGAAAGCGCCGACATGCTGAACGCAGACTACATCAAGCAATTCGTAGACACGTAAAGCACGGTATGTGCCTCCAAGCATCCTCTTTAAGAGCTAATGGGCGTGCACCCCAGCGATACGACGCTCTCCTGTCGTATGAACGAATCAGCCATTGTAATAACGTTACTAACGGAGGAAGACGAGCGCACAAGATCGAGAGGACCGGTGCAGCAAGCACTGATCCCAGAGCATGTGGTGATCTGCGAGCTTGAAACGCAGGTGAGCCCAAACGAGGTATAAGCTGACGTGAGGGCCAGATCCTCGGCATTGAGGATCTTGAGTGCTCCTGCAATCGCTGGGTTTGCACCCGGCTGCCAGCCGTCAGACATGGCAATCGCAGAACGTGTGTGATCAACTTGCCTCTCCCACATCGGAGCAGCATTGAAGTGAACCGCCGCAGGTTTGAGCAACAACGCGGATGGCCGCGACGAGTGCGGTGACGGCGAGGGGAAGAGTGAACTTCATGAGAGAGGATATGGGTTCTTGGGAAGGCAGGGGTGTGATGGTTAGAGCGACTGAGAGATCGAGCTGAAGCCCACTCTGCGTATCTTGAAGGACCTTTATACGTTTCCGCTCGTGAGTATGTTATACGCTTTACGGATGTAAGTTGTTCTTGAGGATCCACGAGACGCGACATGCGCACTGGCAGCGCCGGAATAGCAAGGGATTGTACGCTTGCAGGGAGGATTAGCATTGTGGCGGGACGTCAAGCGCGGCCGTAGCTTGTCACGGTGTTCGGATGCCAGAACACAGCGGGTGCTGCCTGACACGTAATACATCAAGCGCCTCAACCTGGAAGCAAATATTTCAGGAGCCCAACGCAGGCTATGAGGAATCGAAGGTAACCTTTGAGAGGTTCGGAGAGAGGGTTTCACAAGGTCAGAGGCGTGAACATTCTGAAGTGAGCGCGGTCCAAGAAGGCGTGATCACGATATGCACCTATTGGGCAATCAATTCAGGTCGCGAGCTAGAAGGGCGTGACTGTAGTCTGCCCGAAAGGACAGAGACATCGCGAGCAGAATGTGAGCAACAGTAGCAATACCAGTACCCACATCATACAGTGCATAGACGCGTTTCTCACACAAGTACATTATCGGCCGATGTGAGTGACAGGTGGGCTCTTCGGATGTAACCTACGATGTGTAAGTAGAGAGTGTATAACCAAACCTGAAGCTTCCCATGTCAGTACATACCTGCGCGGAGGTGAAGACTCGAATAAGGAGGCCTTGCCAGGTACCCGCAGGTCCGGACGTCGACAAGTCTGAGATGATGGCTCGGTGCTGCAGACGCCGTTCAAGAAGCGCGTGAAGGCAGACAGGTGCCACTTCAGATGCTCATGGTAGTAGTGCCAGCTTCCGTGACTGATCGAACGTGCCAAGACCATAGTCGCCCTTGTCAGGACATATGGGTGATCTGTACACTCTGTACCGGTGCACATTGGACAAGAACGCGGTGCCGAGAGAATCTCTCTGCGTCACAGGAGGCGATACCCCAGATGGGCGAGGATATGTATCGAATAGACGAACGATCATAGTCAGAGAGACGCCTCGGCGCGCCGACGAGGTTATGCCCGCCCACGGCGCCGCATCAGACGATCTTCCATTCATGCGAGCGGATCGAGTCCCGGTCGAGCGTCTATCATTTCAGGCCGAGTGATGCGACGGAGATGTTCAGTGTGGGGACGACGTACGGCGGCGAGCTCGTTATAGTGCATCGACCCTTCAAAAATCCTGTTTGTTCGAACTTCGTCGCGAAGACGAGGAAGGCCGCGCCGGTAGGCCTCTAGACACTTTTCTAGTATCAATGGTTTGCTTTCATTGAACAGCATTCGCGAGGCGCTGTGTTGAAGGAGCCGCCAGTATGCCAAAACACAATCGGGCATCCTGAAATGGCAGTGTCATCTTTGGTCTGGATGCGCGTGGGCACGGATGGGACGTCGGGCTTCGTAGCGACACGAGCAAGGCGAATTCGTGTTGTGAGCTCAGGATATGTACAACCGGCACCCTCTCAGACAATTCATCGGCCAACAACGGCTGGGTGGTGGCGGAGCGCAAGCAAGACGGACAGACCCCCCGCGCCAACACGACGGGCGCGACGGATCAAACGCCCGGCGGTTCCATCAGGCTCGGTCTTCGGGCGCGTTGACCATCTGTGCTTCGGACGTACACGTACTCGCTGTTACTCTTCCATAATCCTCTGCACAGGTTCGCGCACACTGGCGCTGTATCCTTCGTGAAATCCCGCGGCAGGGCGTGATATGCGGCGTACAATACACATGATCATAATCACATCCAGGCCACATCTTGAATAGGAGGCCACAGAGCACTTATACATGAGCCAGAATGAGTCGATGAGTCGTTGAAGAAAGATAGCAGCCATCACTACTACGGCTATCCTATTGCTTAAGCGCCAGTGGGCGCGGTACAGTCAATAGTCAAAAGCGATCCGCTCGCGTTCTGCGATTCACATTAGTCGCTGCAACAGCCTTCGGATGGAAGCGAGCTCACAAGCGCCAGTCCTTCCGGGCAACAACCAGGCGCGCCATCGCACATCGCGCCGGCCGTCAGCGGTTTACAGTCGACTCCAACCAGACCCTCGATGATTGAGGGGTCTACATTAACCTCAGAGAGCAAGCTCGCAAGCTGCGCGTTGCCCACCTGAATGAGCAGATGAAATGTTTGAGCGTTCAGTATCAGGTATGAAAGGGAGCGCGTGTGAAGGGAACATACGGCTAAAACCGTGTCGCAGCATTGAAGCGTGCCAGATCCGGCGCTGCAGCTTTGAGCGGCGGCTTTGATACCAGCGGTGATCATGGTGATGAAGAGTGTGGTGGTGAACTGCATGGCGGCGGATAGAGAAAGAAGAGGGCTATGAGGAGGATGCTTTCAGACGACTGGGAAACGTCGGACTGCTGATGCCTACCTAGCAAATGCCACAAGCCTTTTTATGCGCCTGATAATGCAAGGAGCACCCTTTTCGGGATGCAGACAGGACCAGTGAAGTACATACTACGGCTCTTCGCTCGACCCGGCAACATCTCGTATGGTTGGGGTGCAGACGGACCCTCGGAGAAACATTCACGGGCGCTTCCATGGGCGTCGACTTACGAGTGTTCACCGACGCGCGTTCCATTCGCAGAGCACGCAGAGCAAAAATGAGCGATCCGGACATGCAGGCGCCGCACTACGCGTCGCCGAACGACGCATTGGTAGATGCAAATGAACAATGTGCCGACGCATCGACCGCTCTCAGATACTGCTATGCCATGAAGGGCAGAAGCAAGCGGTGCGTCGACACCGGTCATTCAGATTTTGATCCGTTCCTGCGTGTCTGCCACGTGCGCTGATCCATGATGTCACTAAAAGCAAAAAACAGCAGTGAGCACGTCCGCAGGAAGAGAATAGATGTCAGATTGCGCTTGTATACAGTGCTAATGGGAACGCAGAAGTGAGGTAATACAAGGATGAAGAATGCGTGTGGATGTGCGTATACAAACAACGTTGCAAGCATGATGACAGCGACAGAACCAAATCACTGTACGTTCAGACGCTGCAGCACAGTAGTCAGCACGCATCCAGCAGCCCGATACTAAATGAAACACGTACCGGCTTGAGCGCCTTGATGAGCAACCACTCATCGTTGCTAACATCAGCCTTGAAGTTCTCCTTGAGCACGTCGATACTCTGGCGCGTAATGCGCGAGTACAGCTCGTCCTTATCGTCGAAATGCCTCCCGAACATCTTCGCGCTCTGGTACACGGCGTGCTCGATCTTGACGGCGACACCACCGCCCGCTTGGGACTTCTTGACGGTGTCCATCGAGCGGTGATTGATCTCGAGCGAGGTGCTATCAAAACAACTCAGCGTGAATGTAGACGGGCGGACGAAAAAGAACGCACATCTTCCCCAACTCGATAATCTCCTTCGCGCCCGTCGTCGCGTCCACCTTGACAACACAAAGCGGTGTGCCCACTCTTAACGTGCCATCCAGAATATCGACGCCCAGAATGATCGGGTCCCTCTTACAGAAACACGCGATGATCTTCAGCCTACACGGCCACACCGCGATCGGGGCCGCGTCCCTCCTCTTCGCCTCGACGATCTCGGCGTTATACGCCGTGAACGCGTCGAAGAGATGGTAGATGATATCAGCCTTGAACAGCCTGATGCCCATCTCCTCCGCCATCCGCTCCGCATCTTTGTCCACAGTAACGTCGAAACAGAGGATACACGCGAGCTCCTTGGCCTTCTCGAGCATCGTCGCGGCGCGCATCACGTCCTTCTTGTGTACCGGGCCGATATTGATACCAGAGACGGGAATCTTGCTGGATTTGAGGAAGTCAAGCAGGGCCTCGAGCGAGCCGAGCGTCGAGGCCTGCACGCAGACTCCGCGTCCGGACTTATCGATCGAGTTGAGCAGCGTCGTTAAATCGCTCATAACCTCGTCCCTCAGATCATCCTCATCGTCGTCCGGTCCACACACCAACAACCTCGAACCCGCAATGGCCTTCTCCAGATCCGGCGCGACGATCTTGACTCCCAACGCGGCCTTGACCTCTTTATGGTGCACGTAGTTGCTCTTGATCCGCAGTTCGCGGAGAGGTTGGGGTGTGAGGAGCGCGCGGACCTGCGTCACGATCGGCCCGTTCAGCCCACAGATGACGATCTTGTCGCCCTCATGCAACACGCCGTTGCTCAGGACGACATCGATAGTCGTCCCCAGACCCTCAATGACCTTCACCTCCAAAACCGTGCACTCCAGCTCGCTGAGATACATCAACCGCTCGCTCATCCTCTGCTGCGTCAGATTGACGAGCAACATGATCATATCCGGCACACCCTCGCCCGTGATGGCGGACGTGGGGACGAGCGAGACGTTGCGCGCGAAGTTCTTGTTCTCGTAGTAGAGCGTCGCGTTCAGACCTTGTTCGGCGAACGCGAGGATCGTAGCTTTCACACGGTCCTCGAACTCGCGACGGACAGATTGCTTTTGCTTGGCGAGCGATTCTTGGACGGCGCCGTTGGGTGTGGCGTCCCAGCCGTAGATACGGTCGATCTTGTTGAGCGCGACGATGAAGGGCGTCTTGCGATCGCGAAGGAGGCGGAGAGATTCAAGCGTTTGAGGCTCGAGACCGTGCTGTACAAATCATGAGAACGCGCAATGTGATTGAACAGGATTGATGAGACGCACCATGATATCAACGACGAGAATGGCGATGTTACAAAGTGAACTCCCACGCGTCCTCAAGTTCGTGAACGACTCGTGTCCAGGCGTATCGATGATGAGAAGACCAGGGATCTTGTACTCGAAGCTGTTGTCCTTGTTCAATACAGCTGTCTTCGTCTTGATCGCCTCGACAGGAAAGTAGGTGGCACCGATCTGCTGCGTGATACCGCCCGCTTCGCCCTCCTGCACATTCGTCTGCCGGATCTTGTCGAGCAGCTTGGTCTTGCCCGTGTCGACGTGTCCCAAGATACAACAGATGGGACTGCGCAAGTCGTCCTTGTTCCGCGCGGCCAGAGCTTCCTCGTGTGCCTTCGCACGACGGGCGGCGGCTTCGGCTTTACGCTGTGCGGCAGCCTTTTGGACGGCTGTGAGCTCCTCGTCCGAGGAGTCTTCGTCCGAGTCGTCGTCAGAGTCACTGTCCTCCTCGCTCGAGTCCTCTTCTGACGAATCTTCTTCTTCGGATGATGACTCTTCGGCAGGCGGCGGCGCGGCCTTGCCGTTCGCGGCTTTCGCGGCCGGTGCGGGCGCTTTGGTCGTGGCAGTCTTCGCCGCGGCGGCTTTCGCTGCTGCTGGAACGGCCTTGGCTGCTGCTGGAGCAGACTTGGCCGGCGTGGGCTTGGCGGGAGCTGCAGCGCTCGGTGCGCCGGAGGGAGCGGCGACCTTCTTGGGCGGCTCTGCGGGCGCTTTCTCTTCCTCCTCGTCGCTCGACGCGTCCCAATCGCTCTTGACCTCCGCCTTCGGCTTCTCATCCTCACTGCTCGCGTCCCAATCATCCTTCACGTCATCGTCCTTCTCCGGCGCCGGTGCGGGAGCCGGTTCAGGTGACAATTCCTTCTTCGGTGCAGGCGCGGGAGTTGCCGGTGCGGACGGCGCTGGGGACGATGTAGCTGAAGTACCCTGTTGTGGACCTTTGCCGCCCTTCTTCTTCTTGTTATCGTAGACGGGCTTCTTGGCCGGTGCGCCGGGTTCGCGCTGTTGCAGGCCCTCGATGGTGACGCCTGACTTGAGCAGCGCTTGGCGACGGAGCTCGGCCGCGCGCTGTTCGTCCTTCTGCTTTTTCGTGAGCAGACGGCCTTCTTTCTTCGCCAGCTCTCGTTTCGCCTATGCAAATATAATCAGTGCCCAGTTCACCCTGAATATAATGGCAACTGGATATACCTTTTCCTTCTCCTTCTTCCGCGCTTTCTCCTCCTCCTTCCGCTTCTCCTCTTCCTCGCGTTTCCTCTCCTCTTCCTCAATCCTCCTTAGCTCTTCCTCCTCAATCCTCCTCTGCTCCTCTTCCAACCTTTTCCTCTCCGCCACCAACGCCTGCAGCGCCGAGATGCCGCCCTTCTTCTTACTAGGCGCCGGCGCGGGCTCCTCGTCTTTCTTTGCTTTCTTCTTCTTTTTCTTCTTCTTGTCGCCGCCAGCCCCTGCGCCGCCCTCATCCTCGTCATCCTCGTCCTTCTCTGCAGCTGCCGGTGCGGACGCGGCTTCTTCTGCGGCGGCTGTGGGCTCTGCTGCTGGCGCTGGAGCGTCTCCAGCTTGAGCCTTCTTTGCCGCTGCCTGCGCCTTCTTCTTCGCCTGCGATAATATGTCAGTAGGATATTCACAAATGATGTACGGCAATCACACACCTTCTCTTTCTCCTTCTTCAACTTCTCCTTCTCCTTCTTACTCAATATCTTCGTCCCGCCCTCCTCCGCATCGTCTCCCTCCGCATCGGCCTCCGCCTTGGGCTCCTCCTCCTTCGCCTCCTCCGCCGGCTTAGGCGTGCCCGGCGCTTCTCCGTTCTCCTCATCCTCATCGACCTCTTTCTTCCCACCCTTCTTCCCACCCTTCTTCTCCTTCTTCTTCTTGTCCTTGCCCTTGACCGGTCCCCACTCCTCGTCCGCCAGCTCCTCCGCCGTCATCTCCACGGGGCCCTTAGACTCTGCAGGCTCTTCGGCATCGCCATTCACAGCGGCAAGCACAGCGTCAAAGTCGTCGTCCGTGACCGCGTTCCGCTTCTTCTTCTTTTCTTTCTTGCCGCCTTTTGCGGCCGCGGATTTGAGCGTGGACTGGATGAGAGAGTAGATTAGATTAGATCCCGTTTGTACACGCGCACGCCGAGTCAGATCAAATCATTTCCCGGAAGAGCCACGTAGAGCGCGCAAATATGCTGATTGGTACGAGGTAATAAGGGAAGGGAAACGTACCATGAGTCCACCGAAGTCCTCGTTCTCGTCCACCTCGGGCGGATCCTCCCTCCCGTCATCGAGCGCCGCAAACGCAGAGAACGCGCCGCCCTTCTTCTTCGGCGCGGTGATGCCGCCATCCGATTCGTCGCCGTCGCCATTAGCCGCGAGCGGTGCAGCCGGTTCGCCCGCCTTTTCCCTGCATTCACATTGTTATTATGAGTACATCGCGTGTGGAGTGCGTTCGAAGAGTATATAAGACGCACCAGAAATCGTCGTCGTTCTTCTTCCCCTTCTTCCCCTTATTTTTCGGCGCCATGGTTGCGCTGGTGTGTCTGATACCCGGAGAGTGGACGGGTGACGGGTGAGAGGGCAGAGGGCGAGGGCGAGGGCGTGGACGTCCGGAGCAAGGCTTTCGGTGCGAGATTTCGACGCTGCGGCTATCGCCGATGTGGGTCAGGTCAAGCCTGGGAAGATCGCCGCCATGCTTCGGCGCGTCCGTCGCGTCTTGCTTCCGCTCCGCCACAACCGACCGCGATGGGACTGCTGACGATCATACGGAAGAATAGGCAGAAGGAGAAGGAGATGCGCGTGCTCTTCCTGTTTGTACTTGACCTCACACGTGCGCGGGGGTGCATGCTGAGGAGTATATACGCGCAGAGGGCTGGACAACGCGGGCAAGACGACCATCCTCAAGAAGTTGAATGGGGAAGACATCATGAGCGTGTCTCCGACGCTTGGATTCAACATCAAGACGTTTGTGCACAACAAGTAGGTGCGACACAACTCTAGCCCATCTGCATCTTACCTGAGACTCGAACTAATTCGTCTTCCGCGCAGCTACACGCTAAACGTATGGGACGTCGGCGGCCAACGCACGCTCCGACCTTACTGGAGGAACTACTTCGAGCAGACCGATGCGCTGGTGTGGGTCGTGGACTCCGGCGACCGGCTGAGGATGCAGGACTGTAAGGAAGAACTGCATGGCCTGTTACTCGAAGACGTGCGTGCGCTTCTCGATCAACTCGGCGGATACGCGCGCTGATGCGTGGATCGCGTGTAGAGGCTTGCCGGCGCATCACTCCTCGTCTTTGCGAACAAACAGGACATCGAAGGGTCGATGCACGATAACGAGATCGCCGCCGTACGTCTCTACTCTACTAATCCTGACCTCTACCTGACGGCCATCAGGCGCTCGACCTACACTCGATCCGCTCGCACGAATGGAAGATCGTCGGCTGCAGCGCCGTGAGCGGACACAACCTCGTCACTGGGCTCGATTGGGTCGTAAACAATGTTGCGAGCAGGTTGTACTATAGTACTGTGAGCGGGCCTGGGGCCGCGAGTGGTACGACGATAGGCGGTAGTACGGGAATGACGGCGGTCGGTGCTTGAATACATCGTGATAGACAAGGATTGTCGAACGACCGCCTGGGATGAGATGACATACTGCCAGTGAGACCACTCGCACGTTCGATCCCTGTACATGGCTCGCTATTGGCCTGTTACTGCCCCAGACCAAACCCTGAGTACGTGCGATGGGTATCTTGCTCGGCTTCTTCGTCATCTGCGCTCAGGTATGCAGTACTTCTCTGTCTGAAGTATCCTCTTTCACTAAGCGGCTCTATACTTAGACGAGCGGGCTTCGAAACATCGAAGGTCGCACCGCGCCCGGTCCGATGTCCAACACCTTCAATTGAGATGTCCGCCGAAGAGTTTACCTGTCATCCGTACCGGCCGAAGCTCTACGCGCGTGGGACATGCGCAGCCGGCGGCATGCCTCTATGAGCATTCGGACTGCTCCCCTTGCCTACGCTGTGCCCCGCTGGGCCTTCATCCTTCCGAACAGGCTATAGTCGTGCGCTTGCAGCATAGGCTATGGGCGAGCTCTAACCGCTCAACATAAGGTGTTTTATGTGCATACTGTCTTGGAACGAGGAGGAATGTCTCTTGAGTCGGCTCAAGTTGCACAATCTATGATCCTCTGCGCTGCTTTTCATGCCCTCAACCTCTGAGGGTGACTTTTCCTGTTCCTCTGCTTCACTCGATGTCCTTGAACTGATACTTGTAGGTGCCACACCCGCTGTCTTCCGCGTCGACACAAGCTTCCAGTCAGCCGCTCTCGATAGTCCCCGCAGAGCGCCAGCACCAGTCTACACACACAGTCCCTTGCTCTACCTACGCCGCTAGCGTATATGGTACGTCTCGTGGACTAGTGAGTACGATATCTGCTCGTGGGAAGTACACGATACTCACGAACGAACGCGTATAAAAGCTACACGTTGCAAGCAGAGGATACTTCAGCTCGACCTCCCAGTCGCTCTAACCCTGATCCTCCTCGTCTCTCGATCTACGCACTCTCAACAATGAAATTCACCCTTTCCCTCACCATCGCCTTCTTCGCCGTTGGCATGAAGGTTGCCGCTCAGAGCTGCGCCGCAGACGCGACGTTCCAGTGCTGCGAGACTCTTGCCGGGGTGAGTCAACTTCTCACTGCATACCACGTCGTTCTCCAATCTGACTCAACGCTTAACAAGGCGGACGCCCCTAACGTGGCTGCTATACTTCAGCTTATCGGAGTGGACCCTACCGATATTGTGGGTCTCGTCGGCCTCACTTGCACTGTGCCTACGGGGGGCGACGTCTGTGCCCCGGGCGAGGGCGGTCCCGCTTGCTGCACGGATGAAATCAACGTACGTTTGCCTTGCGTATCTCACGATCGTTGAACGATATCTAATTCGAATGCCTGGCTAGATCCCCCTTGTGCCAATCTCAATATCGACCGGCTGTACTTAACCCATCCTTTAAGTTGCGCCGCAGGTACTCGCATGCCCTGAGGCGGCCGAGTGAGCATGTCGAGTTTGTGTATCGTCGAATAGGACTGTGGCGTTTCACGTACCCTGTGTATTCGATTTGAAGTTATGGCGTCGTCAACCCTCTCTTGGTCGCGACGGTGTCAGAAGGCGTTCACTGGGATGGAAAGCTCTCAATGGGATGTGAGCGTCAGGAACGAGTGCGCGAGACGTGGGAAGATCACCGCCAGGCTTCGTGGCGTGAGCGCCGGATTGGCCCCGGGCGCGTTGCTCCTTCCCGCCATGACTGACTGAGATGTGACTGTTCAAATTCCAATCATGCGGAGGACTCGGATACTCACTCTCCACTTCCGAACTCGCGATAGGTATCTGAACCCAGGGTATCAGTGTGAGGTGCTTCCGAACCGCAGTTCTTCTGTCCCCCTTCAACCAATTCTCCAGCCGTCGATGCGCATCTCAGACTACTGTACCAAAAACGGCAGCGCTGACACCTACATACCATCCGCATCAACTCGCATGAGACACCGTCTGTTACAACTCTCTTTACGGGCGCCGGTATGACTAGTGTTCAGCACAGCTACCCGCGATAGTGTCTCTGTTTGCCAACTCTTTCAAACCGTATCGCCAATGCGTGCTGCTTCATACCGTCTTTGGTGTCTTAAGGTCCACTCCAGTCCCTCACCGTACCTTTCTTGCTGCAAAGGTGTGCCGCTGTCTTCTGATATGGACGAAACGTGACGCTGATTCCGGCCGCTCTTGATCCACGTTCTAGCTCGATGGTCAATCTACGCAGTCATTGGCTGGCACCGCTTGAATGTCTGAACCTGCGAGGTCTCAGACTTGTGCACACTTCATTCACGAAGAGTATGATATACGCACGGGCAGGCTCCTATAAAGACTGCGTGATTGACATGCTGGTTCTCCAACAGCTTTACTCTTCTTTCCAGTCCTTGACTCGCAAACATGTTGTTCATCACCCCAGTTACCTTGGCTCTCTTGATTGCTGCTCCAAGTGCTGCCGCTCAGGGTGCCTGCGCTACCGGCTCGCTTCACTGCTGCGCTAATGTTGGCTCGGTGAGTACTCTGCCATGTGCTCTCACTTCCTGTGCAAGATCCCCAACTCATCCAGGTAAACCCAGTTATCAAATCCGGCCGTTGGAAGCGTAGAGTCCCTTTTGCAGGATCTTAACATCGGCATTGGCCATATACCGCTGCCTATGGGAGTCGGCTGCGCGTCGATGGCCGCCACGACCTCGCCGTGCCCAAACACAGTCGCATGCTGCCAAGGGAAAATCGTACAGTCATGTTGCGTCCTGATATCTTGTCATAGTAGCTGACTTTACCTTTTTGGCAGTTCGATATCGTGTGCTTTGGTTGCACCGCAATCTAAGTGTTGAGCTGGCGGATAGAAACGACATGGTCGAGGTCCCGCGCGATGGCGGTAGCACGAGCTGCCCTATGTTTGAATACTGTTCTTCCTCATATATACATGAATTGAATTGGATTGCGACCGTGAGTCGTACTTCAAGGTCTCGATCGGGATATTGTGACAGCAATCTTGAACTTGACCGGCCAAGCTATGAGGGCTGCCGCGCTGACGGTGAATGTCCGGAGCAGAATTGAGATGAAACTCGGGTTCGACCGAAACGTCCATACGTTGGTTTCTACGCCTCGGTAAGGCTGCACTCCCTTAAAGCGTGTGATATCCCGCACTTGAGTAGGAACATAGGATACACTGGCTGAGAGCGAAAGCGGGTATGTATGTGAGCGCCCGAAGCAAGCACGGATCGTCAACACGCCCGACGGCCGAGGCTGATGCGCGCATTTGATCCGTCGGGCGCGTCGCGTTGGCGCGGCGCGTTTGCGGCGCGTCTTGCGCTCTGCCTCGGCTCTGCCACCACCTGGCGAATAAACTATCTAGAAGGGCGTCGCTCGCCCATAACCTCAGTAAAAAGCCAGGTCTCTCCTTGCTCATGTCATTCAGATCATGCATACGAGCCCGACACGAAGCCCGACGTACCCGTCCGATTGCAAACCAAATATGTCATCGCCATTCCAGGATGACCAGTTGCGCTTCAACATATCCGATATCGGTCACTCCTTCCAGCACGATGCCGCTTCCTTGTTGCGCCTGAGACTGGTGGATGCTGTGCAGTGACAGCAAACCATTGATCCTAGAAGGGGTGGCGAACTAGCTATGACGATGCTCCTACTTCTCCCGCCCTCGCCGCGACCTTCTGGGATTAACCCGCATCGTCGCTCTTCATATATGGAGGCTCTCGATGCATCATATACCTAGACAGGATATGATGCCCACGATGTCCTCCCAGACCGAGGATCCCACACTGACACTGGACGACTTTGCGAACTGTCCCCAAATCCTTGCGGAGAATCGTCCACCAGCTTTGGGACTTTGACTCTCCCAATGCAGATCTGCGCGCAGACAGCACCATATGACGCTGCTAATCGTAGCGTCATGCCTATCTTCCAAGAAAGGCTCACTTCATACGCAGGTGAATGCATATAAAGACTGTTGACGTACGCAGTGTAGTACACAGCGACTCGACTGGCATATCCAGTCGTTCTCAGCATCATCGTCCTGATCAACGCACCTCCAACCATGCAATTCACCATTCCTCTCGCCCTCGCCATGCTCGCCGGTATCCAAGTTGTCGTCCAGGCGCAGAACTGCACCGCCGGAACGGGCACATTCTACTGCTGCAACACCGTCGCCGGCGTACGTGCACTTTGAGTCTCACCCGACCCTCCGATGCCCTTGTGACTGACTATACATCCGCGCAGGTATCGAACGCGGAGGTAGTGGCATTGCTCAAGGCTGTCAACTTCCCAGACCCCACGACTTACGAGGGTTTGGTCGGCTTGGGCTGTAACCCGCCCGGCTTGTATTGTACGGGCGCGCCTGCTTGCTGTACTGGAGAGATCATCCCCGTATGTTCCTCCAATCCCTGCGAACTTTGAGTCAATCGCTGAGAGCGACCACCCTTCAGGCACCGGGCGTCGGACCCACGGTGACGACAGGTTGCACACCGCCGGCCACCCAGTGAGCGGTGTTACACTTACTCGTTGTCGAGAACATCATCTGTCGCGTCTGAACCACCCATACCGCTCTGACTCTATCTCACTCTGAAGCATGTAGCCGCCGCTCGAATGTCTTTATTGTACTTGCTACATGCCATAGTCCTTTCAGTCGTCGCGCTACGTGTATGCACGAAGGCGCAGCCCGGCCTACTAGAGCACACATACACTCCACCAGTGAGCAGTCATGCATGGCGAAGTAAATATGAAAGCGTGAACATTGCATTGAAAAGTAGCGTAGGGAGTCGTTACATCCATTGAGCAGAAAGTCCGCAACCAAATCGTGAAGAAGCCCTTCAACCAAAACGATCCAAACGTTCTATAACCGAGGCCGCCGATTGCACCCTGAATGACCCCCCTACGCCTCCTGGAGCTGGACGTCCGCGCAGCCGAAGAGCGTGCGCTGGCCCGCAGACTTGAAGCTCACGAGGTTCTCGTCCGTGTCCTGCTGAAGAACGCTGCCGGGGCACACGGTGAAAACGCCGCCCTCGTACGCGAGCTGGCCGTTCGCCACAGCAACGCCCTGGGTGCCAACATCCGAAGTGAACGTGACGACGTTCGTGCTGGGCACAGTCGCCGTACCGCCGGGCGTGATGTGGAT